CTGAATTTCGTCCAACTCTGTGGGTGGTTTAGATTTCGACCTCTGTCCGCCTTGTCGCATCCAGGCGCGCGTGTGTCGGTCTGTCGGCGTCTGGCCGCTCATTATCAGTGTAATAATCACTTGGTCATGCGGCTCTTCTCTTCCCATTCTCCATCGCACAAAGCGAGCGCTACCGAGTCGCATCGCCACCACCACCCCCCCCCCCTCCCCCGCCCCCCGCCGACAAGGAGGGAAACCGCGACCCCCGCCGGAGCAGCAGCCGCCTGACTGTCGTCGCTCTGTCTCTCTCGCACTCGTGCGGGACGCCCCATGAGTGCGAGAGAGACAGGGCGAATCGGCCAGCAGGTCGAGTCAAAAGGCAGTCCTCGTCGGAATTCCAAGTAGTTTTTCTGAAATCCGATACGATTCCTCCGGTCGGTCCGGTCCGGTCTTGCAGTGCACCGCCTCCTCCGCACATGTGCTGCCCGTCGCTGCCCTTCCTCGTTCCCGCCGATAATGTGCGCGCTCTGTCTCTGTCGCTACTTGTTCTGTTTGCAGGAAGTCCTCATGGCGCGTTTACCACGAATTTATAGAGAGGGCTCTCTTCAAGGCGGCTGGCTGCTTTTGCCTCCTCACAAGGGCAAAGTATGGCTGTTTGCCTACCTTTCAGGTGGTTTGGTTATCCGGGAGCCATTAGGAAAGGCGGGGGGCTTTGTCCCCCTCCCTTCGCCCTGGATCCGCACCTCTGGCCCTCGTAGTTTTGCCGAAATTTACAAAATAAAAGAACTGCTGACGCAAGCCTGGCCTAATAGGGTCCTCGTCGGCAGGTCTTCGACCCTGCCCGCCGCCTCACCGCCTGCAGTCTGCTCCCTGTCTCTCTCGCACTCATGGGGCGTCCCGTAGGGGTGCGAGAGAGACAGAGCGACGAAAACGACTCTCGGCGTTGGCCGGCCGTCGCGTTCGTCCTCATTTTCGACGTCCTTCACCCGGGAATGAGTTATGCGAGACGAAAAAGGCGAAAAGGGACGAAAAGTCGAAAGCCAAACAGTGGAGCGGTGCGGGGCGTCGGGGCGCCGCGCGTCCCGGGGCGTCTCACAGTGGGCCAGAAGACCGATGGAGGCGGACAAAACTCTAGACGCGTTTTGCGCTCCAGAGTCACTAGACAGGACTCGAACCGAACGTGTGACCCCACCAATGGATTCCTCGTTCGGAGAGCAATCCATTGGTGGGGTCACACGTTCGGTTCGAGTCCCATTTAGCGACTCTGGAGCTCAAAACGCGTCTAGAATTGTGTCCGCCTCCACCGGTCTTCTGGCCCACTGTGCGTCCCGGGGCGTCTCGGTGGCGCCCATGTAAAACAAAGTCCATTATCTTTCCATTTAGCGAGGCGGCCCGACAAAGCTGCAGGCCGGCCGGCAGGCCGATGGAAAGGTCAGTTTTGGAGCCGAATGCCCGAACCTATGGCAGGGCACGGCGTGGCGCGGCAGGACACGCTACGCCATGCACACCAGCAGACCGATTCCGAGAGTCGTTTTCGTCGCTCTGTCTCTCTCGCACTCATGGGGTGTCCTCTGCAGATGCGAGAGAGACGGAGCGACGAAAAAGGCTCTCGGTGTGCAGCGCGGCACGCACGGCAGATAGGGCCCCGGCGAATAAATCAAACGCGGGTCAAGAAGTTGCCTCCTCCACTGTTCTTGCCGTCGACTCCACTTTATGCCGCCGCTGCTCAAGCAGTCGACACATATGTCGGTAAATCAGCAGAGGAAGAATTCTCTGGACTGTTGCAAAAAAGAAGACAAGAAAAGAGCACAAAATTGCAACGTGTTGGAGAACCTACTGCGATTTTAAAACGCGATTTACACTGCTCAATCGCGCGATCCTGGGCCCCGGATTACAACGCCCTGGTCACGGTTCCGATTCTGCTCGGTCTCGCTTTCGGTGCGATTCACCAACACTCGGCCCCTCATCGCTTCACGCCGCTTCACGCCCCGGTCGAGCCGTCAGTCAATGAACCACGCGGAGCGCCAATCACGCTCATCACGGCCAAGCCATTCATTTGCCTCTAGACGCGTTTTGAGCTCCAGAGTCGCTGAACAGGACTGTGAACAGAACGTGTGACCCCACCAATGGATTCCTCGTTCGGAGAGCAATCCATTGGTGGGGTCACACGTTCGGTTCGAGTGCCATTCAGCGACTCTGGAGCTCAAAACGCGTCCGGGATTTTGACCCCCTCCCAGTGCAGCACTGCTGGTACACTGCCGCCGGCGCCACGGGTGCCAACACTCCGCTCCACACCGCGGCCCTAGCGGCCCCTGGAGAGTGACTCACCGGGGAGGCCCAGAACCAGTCAGGACCAACACAGTCCGAAGTAGTGCCCCGCGGCTGACAGAGGTGCTCCCGGTGCGGGGGCGGGGCGGGCGGGGCGGGGCGGGGCGGGGCGGGGCGGGGTGGGGCGGGGCGGGGCGGGGTGTTCCTAGGCCCGAGGCAAGGACGCGCGCTGCATCGCCCAGCCGGATAGGCCTTACGCCGAGGTGAGTCAGAGGCTGCGTCTGAAGTGCACCCCCGCCAGCCCGGGGAAGTCCCTGCAGTCCCTGCGGCCCGCCGCAGAGACCCTCGCCCCGGACGCAGCCAGCGCAGCGCCCCGCTGGACCAGCGCGGGCCAGCGGGCTGATTCCGAGAGTCGTTTTCGTCGCTCTGTCTCTCTCGCACCCATACGGGTCGCCCCATCAGTGCGAGAGAGACAGAGCGACGAAAACGACTCTCGGAATGAGGCTGCAGCGAACCGGCCGGCAGCGCTCCCACCGGCGGCCCGGCACGGCCGGACCCGCACCGGATATCGGGCCGATCAAGGAAAAGTTAATCAAGGATGACGATAACGCCACCTGGATGCTAATTACCTTTTATAAGGAATCATTTTAAAATTCAAGTCCTGCCCCTCGCTAAGCGCGCTAAGCGTAATACGTTTCGTTTCTTCCTTGTTTTTCCCGGACGGACCTTTTCCTCCGAACTGCGTCGTGCTGCGGCTTGGGGCTTGTGGAACAGGACCAGGACGACCAATGAGGACCAGGAGACCAGGACGATGACCAGGACGATGACCGGGACGACCGCCAACAGAACGACCACCTGGAGGATCAGGACGGCGACCAGGACGGATGAACAGGACGACCACCAGGAGGGCGTGGACGACGGCGAGGACGGCCACCAGGACCACCACCACCTGGACCACACCAGGACCACCACAAGGACCACCACCAGAACGACGACTGGCGTGGCGTGGCCACGAGTTGTTGCTCGACCGCGGCGGGCGCGCTTTCGTGCGCTCGTGCGTTCAAGTCTCCGGGAATCGAGACACCGCCATCACTGAGTCGTGATCGTGATCAGAGCCGTATTTTGGCTGAGGTGGCTCTTATCACCCACATTTGGGCGATGTGAACGGGGAAACTAAGCAGACTAAAACTGGGTGATAACTGACAACGCCTTCCCCACCGAGACAATTTGGCTGTCAAAACTTCCTCGCCCAAATTCTTAGTCATTGAGTCTCGTTTACTCTCAATGATCTGGCTGGGTGGCGGTTGCGGGATTTCCAGACTCGATAAAATTGTCTTTTTAATTTCTCAGAAAAGAAAATCGACAAAGAAAAGCAAAACCAACGACCGTTCTTCCCGCACCTGTTTGAAGTGAAACTCCGACCGTATTCCTCTGCACTGCGTTTACCCCGCGCCTTCGCGCTTTGATCCACCAACCCAAAGTAAAAATAATAATGTATCGCATTATTCACGTTACGCACACACGCGCACACGCGCACACGCACCCACACGCGCGCGCGCGCACACACACACGCACGCACACACACGGCAGCACACTCACACACGCCACACCCCAAAAAACACACGTACGCAGAAGCTGTTAACGAAAACCCAGGTCAGGTGCACCCGTCTATGCAAGTCTTCATTCGGCTTCGGCCTCCAAGTCGTTACACATTAATTTTACGAGAGTGAAACTCCTTCTTCCCTCTTGTCTTCCCCCCCTCCCTCCCGCCTCTCCGGCCCCCTGAACCCGCCCCTGGACGGCCGGCGCCCTTCATGCTCACTTGCTCTCGTCTATTTCCCCATTTAGACTGGCGTCCTCATTACCGATGAGGTTTTGTGTGTGAGTGTGTGTGTTTGTGTGTGTGTGAGTGGGTGTTTGTGTGAGTGGGTTGGGGGGGGGGGGGCGGACGTGCAGGGTGTAACGTGATATTCTGTGTGGTAAAGGGGAAATTATAGGGTGGTGGGCGGGTTTGGATATTGAAATAAGCGAAAATACAGCGAATGTACCCTGCAAATCCAAGTGAGGGACAGGGATACACTAGAAAACGTGGGACTGCGAACCCCGCGTTATCTGCACGGTAAAACCCTCTCCTGGGGGGTTTGGTATGGAATCGCCCTGGCCAACTCCGAGGAAAATCTTCTGGGATACGCAGGGAAGTTGGTCGATTCCCAGGAGATGGTTTTACCGTGTCCCACGCTTGGATTTGCAGTATAAACCGAGCAGGCTTTGCTTCGCTCTGCTTGTTGCGGAGCCAATTACCCGGAATTCCCGCGCCAAAATCACCGGAAAGTTCACTGTTCAGCTGAATCTGAAGTTTGCCGAGCAGCGCGGTTGCAATCGAAAAGTAAAGCCAAAGCAGAGCCAAAGCGGCGCGCGATTTGCGTCACACGGAGTCACGGAGAAGCGGGCTGGACCGGGCTGGACAGCGAGCGGAGCGGCCGGTACGCCGCGGCACGCGGGCACGGGGAGGGGGCGGGGTGGGGGCGGCTGCGGGGGAGGGCCCGGTGGGCGGGGTGGGGGCGTTCCATGGGCGTTCCCGCCCCGCCTCCTCCACTGATTGGTGCAGCCCACTTGCGGCCGGGCAGACCGAGCTGGCAGCCCGGCTCATCCATTTCGGCGCGGGGCGGGCAGGTGTCCGATCCTCCTCCAGCCAGGCGGCCAGTCGGCCAGCCAGGCAGCACGGTTCCAGCGCGAAGCGTGCGGCTCCAGCGGCAGGCAGGCAGGCAGGCAGGCAGTCGAGTCTCTCTCGCGCGCGTCCGCTCGCTCCGCTCCGCTCCGCTCTGGCGGGCGCTCTCCGCTCTCCAGTCGCAGCCAGCCCGCGGACCAGAGAGGACGCTCGTTTTCGCAAAGCTTCAAGACACGTGCGCGCGCTCGTGCGGCACGCTCCACGCGCGTGTGTGACCGTGTGTGTGTGACCCTGTGTGTGACGGTGTGACAGTGCGTGTCAGTGTGCGACACTCCGTCCAGGATTACCCTCGTCTTGTGATTGGCCCCGTGACGTCATCACCATGGCAACCTCCTCGCTCATGATCAACCCGGCGTACCCGGCCACCTACCACCACCACTCGTACGACCAGTTCCAGCAATCTCAGGTGAGTCAGGTTCAGAGTCGGACGCGTTCAGCAGAGCCAGCAGACTGATTCCGAGAGTCGTTTTCGTCGCTCTGCCTCTCTTGCACCCATACGTGAGCACGTATGCACGTGAGAGCGACAGAACGACGAAATCGGCTCTCAGAATCAGTCTACGGACACGAACAACGTCGCAACCAAGGCGTTAGATGTGTTTCCTTGGAGCGCACCGGGAGAACTAGTTCCTGATCTGTCCGATCCAGGAAGTAATACCAAAACCATGAGGTAATGACTGATAAAACTAACTATCCACTACAGTAAAGCAGTGCCGTTTAGAGCAAACACCTTACGTATCACAAATCTAATGCAGTAACAGAGTATAAAACGGAAAAGAAGACGAGGAAAATGTTGATTTTCGATGCCCAGAATCCTCAAGCTCCCGCGCAGCTCCGCGCAGCCACCTTCGGTACTTACTGAGCAGAGCGACATCTTCTCCGAACGCATTTCCTCGCTCGGTTTTTTCCTCCTCACTTTCGCCGAAGCCGGACAGCACAGCCGCATGCGTTTCTGAGACAATCGATTCGCGCCTGCTTGTCTGCCTTCGAGCCGGCCGGTGCACTGCGAGACTTCCAGTGCAGCAGAGCCCAGGCCAGGGGTCATTGTTTCGCGGCCCAGCTGGGCGGCAGACCGATTCCGAGAGTCGTTTTCGTCGCTGTCTCTCTCGCACTCGTGGGGCAGCCCGCACAGGTGCGAGAGAGACAGAGCGACGAACACGGCTCCCAGAATTGGTCTGCAACGCGACGGGGCGGCGACCGTGCCCGATGGGATGCCTACCTTCACGGCGCTAGTGGGGGTCAGCTGCAGAGCAGACCGATTCTGCACTCGTTCCCAAAGGGTATTCCCCAAGAGTGGGAGAGAGAGAGGGGGGGAGAGGGGGGGGGCGAGGGAGGGGGGAGCGGGAAAGAGAGAGGGGTTAAACTCTACTGCTGGGGTGTGCTGGGGCTGCTTGCACCTGCAGTGCAATCTCGCCGGCACCCCTTCCTACGTAATCGTGACGCCTTGGTTGGAGCCTTTGCGGCCGTTAGATGACATTAGAGGCGTTTAGATGCCTTTGGAGGACCTTTTGGAAACCTTTGGAGGACCTTTTGGAAACCTTTGGATACCTTTGCAGGCCTTTGAAGGCCTCTCTGGCATCTGGACGCCTGTCGGTCCGGCGCCAGGCCCTGGCGGCCAGTGAGGGTCCCTCGCCCTGCAGGGCGCCACCAAGCCCCCGGCTGCTCGCATTAGAGACCAAACGGGCCACGAGGCTCATGCTCTCCAAGACTCGGAGGAGTTCGCACGGCGTCTGCAGACTGCAGTGTACAACTCCCTTACCCAGACGCACCTAACGGGCTGGCCATGCTGGCGGGGCCCAGTGGGGCCCAGACGCTCCGATTATGATAACGAGCTAATCCTTTCTGCCCGGCGTGGCGTGGCGCGCCCCGGCGCCTTCGTGATGGCCATGCGGCGGTCCCCGCAGCACCGCCACCGTATCGAATGGCTTACTTGTTTTTGTGGCGCCCGAAAACAATCTGCGCCGCCCTGGTCTGGCCGTCTGGCCCCTCTAGGGTCTGGCCGCGGTGACGCCTAGACCAGGCCGGCCAGGTTCGCCACCGTAATGACCGCAGGCAGGCCCTGCCGGCCCTGCAGCCCGAGAGTCGCTTTCGTCGCTCTGTCTCCCTCGCACTCACGGGGCGTCCCGTATGGGAGCGAGCGCGACAGAGCGACGAAAGCGACTCTCAGTCTGCTGCAGCCCACAGCCCTGCAGCCCCGCATAGGTCGTTAGTGCTAATGGCGCTTAATACAGGATCCTCCCCCGGGCGGAGGGCTGCAGTCGGGCGATTCAGAAGAGCGATCTCTGTCCCGCCGGTGTGGAGAGCTTCATGAGTGCGACAGAGCGCCGAGGCGACTCTGAATCGCTCGGCAGGCTGCGGAGTGCAGCAACCCCCGGCGGCGTGCCGTACGCCTGGACCGATTCCGCCGCTCTGTCTCTCTCGCACCTGTACGGGGCGCCCCATGAGAGCGAGAGAGACCCCCCACTCAGCCTGCTGGACCACGGCGCAGCCTGGCGCCTCACCGGCCGCCCCGCGCGGGCCGGCTGATTCCGAACACTGCTTCGTCGCTCTGTCTCTCTCGCACCCCTACGGACCGCCCCATGAGTGCGAGAGAGACAGGGCGACGAAAGCAGTGCTCGAAATCAGCAGGCAGGCGAAGCTGGCCGCCACTCAAGGTCAATAGATGGAGCGCCCCGATAGCCGTCGGCTCGCTAAAAGCCGCTGGCCTAGGCCGGCCGGCGGGCCGCGTCACTGACCTACATCACTGCGGCCGGCAGCCGCCTTCCTGGTCCTCGCTAGTCCTCGCTTACGCTGCGGTAATCGATTGCAAGTCACTTCTTTTTAGAAATCGATTGCTGATTGGCTTTTTTACCCCCCGGAGGAGTGCAGGCCTGCACTCGTTTGCAGCAGCACCTTGGCGTGGGCGATAACGGTGTACAAATTTTGACCAAGTTGTTTGCCCCTTGGTTCGGAATCAGCCGGCCAGCATCCTCTTTTGCGGCTGCTCCGTCCGAGTATAACAGTGTAGGACTATGACCGCCGCATTCAGGGGCCGTCCCGTGTGAGTGCGAGAGAGACAGACCGGTGGCCCCACTGCGGAATCGCTCTGGTGCCCCTCGACTTTCCCACACCCCGAGTGTCGCGCGGCGCGCAGCCCGGCCCTCTAGCCCCCCTGCCCGATCACGTCATCTCTAACCCTTCCAGAAATTGACCGGCGTCGCTTGATCCCCCCGGTACCCGCCCCGCCCCGCCCCGCGTTTGAGCCGGCCGGTGTCCGCCGGTGTCCGCCCCGCCCAGCCGCTCCCACGCACCGGACCCGGCGGAGGACGGCCGGCGCACTGCCGCACCGCAGCACGGCGCGCTGCCCGCCGTCCTGGTCCATTCTGGTCATATTCCCCGGTCCTATCGCGGCTCGCATCAGCAATAAAGCGTTATGGAACGTTCTCCGTCGCTCTCCCGGCGTCCCGGCCACTTTACCTCACTTTTCGGATGGCTACATGTAATTAGAGGCCCGGGACTCGGATCGTGTGCGTCAGCTGCGTTCGCCCTCGGCACGGGGCACGGCGGCCTCCACGGCGGCCAGGACGGCGGCGCGGGGGAGTTGGCCTATCGGGACACCGGATCAACCGAGTCCGTCGAAAGGGGAAAACAAAATCAAAGCATGCGCACCATTTCACACGATCACGGCCATGCTCCTCTGAATTCCACCGACACAGCACCGCGTACACGCAGTTCGCACACTTCTCAAGGTCGCGCGCGGACGCACAGTGGGCGAAAACTCTAGACGCGTTTTGAGCTCCAGAGTCGTTAAATGAGACTTGAATCGAACGTGTGACCCCACCATTGGATTATTGCTCTCCGAACGAGAAATCCATTGGTGGGGTCACACGTTCGGTTCGAGTTCTGTTAGGTACGTGTCTATAATAGAGTTGTCCACCCTCCACCGGTCTCCTGGCCCACTGTGGGACGGCCAGCAGCACGGATACTGCAGCCATCCTCCCAGGGCGAGCGCGTCGACCCGTGACAGTCTTCTAACATCCCTTCTTGTTGTTGTTCCAGGTGTCCCCGCTGAACCTGCTGGCCGCAACGTGCAGCCGCCTGCACTACCAGTCGCAGACCTCCACCACGGGCTCCACTGGCAGCACCACCACCAGCACGCAGGCCACCATGCAGCTCAACTACTTCCAGCAGCAGCAGCAGTCGAGCCAGGCCGCCATGGCGCAGCAGCAAGAGACACAGCAGCAGCAGCAACAGCTCCTGGGGCAGCAGGCCGCCGTGCAGCAACAGCAGCAGCAACAGCAACAGCGGTGGGCGCAGCGGTGGCCGGAGCAGCAGCCGTCGCCGCCCGCGGCCGCCATGCTGCACACGCCGACGCACCCCGACGTGTCGGACGCCATGTCGCACCACCTGCTGGACTTCCCCGGCGTGGGCCGCGCGCCGCTGCAGCTCGGCGTGGGCGTGGCCGGCATGGGCGCCGCGGCCAACGCGCAGTACCAGTACCAGTCGCAGTACTCGTCGTACCAGTGGTACCACCCGCACTACTACTCGGCGTCGTCGGGCGTCAAGGTGGAGCCCGAGTCCCCGGTTGCCGCCGACGCCCCGGCCGCCGTCGCCGCCACCGCCGCCCCCGCGAGGCCTGCCGGGGGCCGTGGCGGCCGCGCCCCGCGAGTGCCGCGCACCGAGCCCCCGCACGACGAGGCCAAGGCGTCCAAGTGCCGCTGCGCCAAGTGCAGGGCCCTCAAGGCAGGCAAGGACAGCGGCGGCAGCAGCAGCGGCAGCAGCGGCGTGGGCTCGCCGGGCAGCGCGGCCAGCGCCAACGGGCTGCCCCCGCGAGTGCACCCCTGCGAGGTCCCCGGCTGCGGCCGCGCCTACGGCAAGTCGTCGCACCTCAAGGCGCACATGCGGTGGCACTCGGGGGAGAGGCCCTTCTTGTGCTCGTGGATGCTCTGCGGCAAGCGCTTCACGCGCTCCGACGAGCTGCAGCGCCACCTCCGCACGCACACCGGCGAGAAGCGCTTCGCCTGCCCCGTCTGCACCAAGCGCTTCATCCGCAGCGACCACCTGGCCAAGCACATCAAGACGCACACCAGGAAGAACGACCTCACCCCGAGCCCCGGCCCCGCCCTCGCCTAGAGGCCTCGCTCAAAAGCTCGCCTCGGCTTCTTTTGGAGCGGTTCCAGCAGTGCTCGCTTCTGTCATGAAGTACATCTATTTCATGCTCCTGTTCTTCGGCTGTGAAAGTAATGTTTAAGATCGAGTTCTCAAACGTAGTTTATGCCCAAATGCATGGTTGTTAATGGACTGTTATCCTGATGTATTTGTATTTAAATGTGCAATAAGTAAAGTGTAGGCCGCCTTCTTAGTAAGGCCAGTCAGTACCTGATAATTTTAATTTGACGCTCTTTTGTGTACATATGTATGGCTAGTTAATTTTTGTGTTGCTAATGTAAGTAAGACTCCTCCAGTCAGTTTTCCAACAATATTGTATAGGAGCAGCCCTATCAGTGGTAAAGAAGACTGAACGTGTAAATAAGAGATATTGTCCAATGAGTTTTCAATAAATCAAAGATATAAAGCATGTACGATTATTTATTACCAATCTCATGACATTCACATGCTTACCACCCAATACACGTTGCATGTATGTTTCCCTTCCATCAATACAAGGCCCTCATAGAAAATAACATGTCACAAAAATATCTGTTCTCATCAGATCCAGCTGAATCACAACGTCACTGAAACTTCTCGTGACTTAAAATGTAAGGAGGGTTGAGCATCAACAATATTCACAGCATAGGGTAGCCAATCACCACCACCACGTGCCAATAGAACTTTTATGGACAGGATACATATGGAAACGTTTTAAGCTACTGAATACTTCCAACTTCTATTTCCCTGACTGAAACTTTACATGAGAAAGTCTCAGTCATCTCTGAAAACATCAGTATTCTATAAAACTAAGCCTCCAAGTAAATACAGTGCCCATGCCAAGTTGCAAAGAACTATAAAATGGAGGGCGTGTGCAAATCAAATTAGTTGAATGCCTCTGTAAATCTACACTGTCTACTTACAGTAAAATGAAATACATTCTATTGATTAAAAGAACTATGAGATGCATTGAACCAGCACGTACTTAAAGTAACAAATGGAAATTAAAGTTGCAGAGCCATACCATGCGAATCACAAATGCATAATAAAGATGAAAAATGAAAGTCAAAGGTGGAACTGATGATGTTTCTTGGGCCAGCAAGAAATCAACATTATATTAAAAATATTGATCAAAACATAAGACAGACACTCCATAGGAATGGAGGGAGTGAGCATTTAAACTTCAAAATTAACTTATACACAGATAGAAATCAAACAGAGGTACAGAACTAAACACTTCCAGTAATAAACATGGAAAACCTATAGAATCTGTGAGATCAATATGGTTACTACAATATCAAACTGGTCCCTAAAGCAACCGACAGAACTAATTGAAGAACTGTAAAAGTTGGAAGTAAACAAATTTATTTGTATTGGACACAGGGAGAAGGACATTGGGCTAGCACTGGAACATTAGCAAATGGTATAGGAGTTCATATTTCTAAAACCAAGAGCTCGTAAAGTTCAGCCCCTGTCTAAACCTTCAAATTGACAAAAATATAGTACATCGGCACTACTGGTTAAAGTGGAGGCCACTTCTATTTCCAGACAAGGATATGCTAAACATACTACATAGTTACTTGAAGTAGAAGAGATATGTTGATTTTAAGTTTGGCCTCTGACAATAAAGAAATTATAAAAACAACATTTGAAAACCATAATATGGGACAAATAAAAATTTGATTGAAATAACTTTCACTAGTGAAAGGAAATCATTTTAAAAATAAACCAGTCTCTTACATAAAACTAAAATCAAGCATAAAAAAATCTTGACAATCAGATCAGGTTTGTTCAAATTCGTCACAACGATGAAGACAACAACCACATGTCTTTGCTACAGCATTTTCTATAAATCATTCTTTCAGTTCACTAAAACCTACACAAAAATGAAACCACTAGGTTTGGATAAAAGAAAATAATGGTCATAACCATACATCACAATTAAAACAGCATATCTACTGAAGACACATCACACAGATCATTGCCAAAAAGTACAGGGTATGGTAATTATCTAATCAGCCGTCTTTCATTGTGACTCAATTAATAATAATAACAATGATGAGGAAAGATGGGAACTAAAAGTAAAACAACCTACTTGAGTGATGATGAAATTGACACTGAAACCTGAACTGCACCCACCTGCAGTGGCACGAACAGGCAGGCATAACACAAAGAAAAAGCACACACAAAAAATAAATATCACTACAAGGAACTGGTCAATGCACACTTTGAACACCGGCGAGATGGCACCTCTAGGAACCATTAAATCCAGAGAGAAAAACAGGAGCAGACTAAGTTGGGTCTTTCGTGTGTTCAATGCATAGTAACAAAACGAAAAAAAAAAAAAAAAGGACCCACAATATATCAGAATAAGCTTATCTTCTGCTCATAGCATTCTGGTGGATAATTTGATCATTGGCTAAAAATACAATTCTAAACGAACACATCAAGGCTAGTAATGTTTAAAACAAAATGTTCTTTCCTAATATTTTCCTAACTTTCACTTTTATACCACATGTACCAAATGCCCTCCTTCTGTTTTTCAAAACAAGATAATAGAGGTAGGAGACATGTACATTCTGCACCAATTGTAAAAAGTGGACTGCATGGTTATCATCATGATAGGAATGTGATGTAAACTCCAGCCACGCAGCAAAGTTCCTCAATAATAATTTTACAAAGTGAGTAACAATAAAATGTAAGGGAAAGCAAAATTTTCTAAAAGAAAAAAAAGGAAGGGGACTGACTAAATACTCACAAGTGGGTTCAAAAGAAACCCAATGAAATTCAATATCACAACATGAGATTAGAGCTTAAATCTCATGATCACATAAATTCTATGTTCAATTTCCTATGATCAGTTTTTTTTTCCTTTTCTTTTTTAAATAACATTTTTTTAAACACCAGCAATCACTCTCAATTTTTATGATTTAAGCAGTTGAACTACTGTATATCATGATATCACTACTACAATTTTGTCCAACAAGGTTCCCTCTATGAAAGACCTATGGAAGAGCACGATTGAAGAATTAAAGGTTGGAATTTAGAGCAGCTGCAATTCAATGCTAAGTAACAATAATTACTACCTTAAGCTAAAATTTGGCACACCTCATTCCATTGACACTGAGAGCACCTAAGACATAGGTAAATTGACTACAAATTTCTTACATCTAATACAGAAACAAGTTCAGAACGCACACATTACAATAATTATGAGGAAGTCAAAAAACGTAAAACCCACCCAACACCCAACTGGCCAAGAAATATACTCATAAAATAATAAGTGCACTACATTTGCTAGCCAATACCTACAGCAATACACACATCACCCCAATCAGAAGATGAGTAGTTCTTGTCCCTAGGATAAGTCAAAAAACATCACTTGAAAAGGCCAAATACTATTTAAGACTGAAAAGCTGATACAATATGTGTAAAATTGAGAAATATGAAAACGGACCGCCAAAATCTAACAACTTCATGGGAACATGCCAAAGGTAGCAAAGAGCAAAAAATACAAAGTTGGGTAAAGGATAATTAATTTGTGATAATTTAACAGTGAGGTGATGTATATCTCCTGCAATGGAAGAGATGTGTAATATGTAACTAACATTCCCTTCAAATTCAGCACTTACAAAGTGAATCGTCTGCAGCAATGTTCCATAAAAGTAACATCAGTGCTAGACGTCCTCTAAACTAGTGTGGAGGATGAGCTCTTTTTCTATTTAAGATGATTCTAAACTCAATCTAAGCCTCAAAGCCTAGAGAAGGGAACATAAACATCTCTTTGAAAGGTCCATTGCGAAGTGCTTGTGGTACCGCCTAGCATCCCCTGGTCTGTCAGCTGCTTCCCGACACTGGGCGTGCATCGGCGGGGCTTAGCCATCATCTGGACGGGCAAGAACTTGTCCCAGACTTCAAGCTCATGGTTGAAAGTGCACTGTTGCCAGACTGCAGGCTAGACATGGAGCCCCTGGACAAAAGTAAAGAGTATATTAGAGTCTTTTTTTTTTTCTTCTCAAATGTCATTTTTTTAAAGTAGACAGTTAAAACTCACTTATAATCAGCTGACTTCAACTGCTCATAAAAGTACATGACTTGAGCTTTTGGTGCTGTAATCGTATCCAAAAGGTCAAGTTGATGGTTACAATAAAATTTCCATTGTAGAATGTATGTACCAGATTGAGTTGCTACATGAGATCCCTGTTAAGCAAAAACAACATGGGTTACTATATGTTCCAAATACTTCAGAGTAGAACGGTTGCATCTGTTTTTGGACTTACCTGAATGCTTTCTCCATCATGGCAAACAACAGGATTTTCCATTCGGAAATAATCCACACCTTCCTTCCAATGCTTGTCAATTGCAGATCGATGTTCATAGTCCACAGCTAATGGATTCATATGCTCAGCAAACGACTGCAGTGTACCTGCAATAAAGTAGGCATTGAACAAGGTCTTGAATTTCCTTCAGTACATTTGCACTAGAAAAAAAATGTTAACATTTAAGTTTATGGCTGTATTCTTACCTGTGGGCGAGTGCACAGTCTCTTTCATTGGAAGGGGAACTTTAGTGTGGAAAACCGAGAAAACAACATCTTGACGCATAACATCAAAATCCCAGGTTATGACACTACCCGGATCGTCATTGTTTATTTGCACTTCATGCACCTACAAAAGAAATATTTGATTGCAACAGAAATGTAGCATTTAAAACTAATTTACAGTGATCTAAGAAAAGTAAATCCTACTTGTCCCCTTCCAAGTGTGACAGAACGGTAGATACTATCCTCAGTAAGAGGACATCCTTCTCTCTCCAATGCAACCTCTGACATGTACATTGATTTTGGTACGAGTCCACCATCACAAATAGTGGCCTGAAATTGCACAAATATTTTCAAAATAAATCATGTTTTTAATGGAAATTGATAATTAATTTTATACTGCTTGAGAAGCATTATGTACTGCACCTTGCAAGGACCTCCAAGGAAATCAGGAACATATTCTTGAGGGATGTAGTCGACTAAGCCTCCTTCCTCTTGATAATCATTTCCACCAAAAAGCAAAAACTTACTTTTTGTATTATCATCTGAGAAGAAAAATATTGCACATAGATATCACATACAATGGATCTTTTTTCTAAAACAAGCATATCTTATACATACTGTACACTCACCAATGAATGTACTAACGAGAGTCCACATGATAGGGAAAACCCTCGGAGCTCTGATGATGAGAACACGGCCCAAAGTTTCAGGATAATTAGCTTCTGCAATTTCTATTATTCGCAGCAGCGCCTGTGGGCATGTAAACTTAAGATAAATGGCTGCACTTTAAGATTGGTTTGCAGTTGAGAACAAGTGTGGTGTCCAGACTGGTATTTTACAGAGAAGTGAACTTACCCTTATCCCAGGGCGCCACAGATGTCTCATGTTCAGGCCCTCCAGATCAACAAGCAGGCACCAGGTTGAGATAGGCTTTCCACCTGACCTTGTAGCCTCCTCCGTTCGCTGTAGGCCTTCCTCACATACATGAAGAGTCTAGTTGAGACAAGCAAAACAGGGTCAATTGAGAACAATGGCATCCCACCAATCCTTGTGAAGCAATGGACACAATACAAACCAGTTTCAATAAACCATCTTCTCCTACTGATTTCAGAAGACCTTTCACATCCATCTGGCCTAATCGAAGAAGGTATATTGGACGTCCATCTACAGTAAAAGAAAATAAGATAGAAAAAAAATTCTGAATAAAAAAAGTTAACAAGAGACTGGCGCATGCAAGAACACAAGAGGCAGTGCTGGTTACCTTTATCATGATGATGCCAGCAACCAGGAAAATAATCTTGAATAACAGGAACTGTCTGATATTCAGATAAGATTTTATCAACACCATGTTTTTTGCGCCACATTAACGACTGAGATAGCATTTCTCTTGCTTTTTCGACATGGAAGTCTCTGGCACGAAGGAATCGGAGAAGTGTTGCATCATTTGGGAGCTAAAATAGGCAAATAAAAATTTATTAAAATACTGAGCAAATAGGGTAAGTTCAGTAATAACCTATAGATAAAACAAGGGTACATAATTATTTTACCTTGCCCTTCTGAAGATCGGCCAACCACTTTCGCAATTGAACAAGTCGAGATTCCTCCATCACACTTAGCTCACCCAAGTATCTCTTGATGTAATCCGAGTCCAGTTGGAACGCACACTCTGAAAAGTTTGGAGAAAAATAAAATATTTCTGATATTGGTCTTATATCTTTCTGATAATAGTCTAAAATTTTTGTGATCACATACAAAAAGCAAGCATTTGCATACCTTTAGACTTATCACCGCATTGATTTGAATCGGACCCAGTTGTTGTTTCGCTTGTTCTAATAGCACCACTAAAAGGGAAAGATAAAAGACCATCATTCACAGTGTGATAAAATGGAAAATTAAATGACAACATGACAGAAGCAAATGCTAATGCAAAACTTACTTCTCTTCAGTTTCTTCTGAACCATCTCCAGTAGCACTGGATGCCTTCCATCTTGAAACAGATGTAATGCCTTCCTCTTCAAGTTCTGTGATAAAATACTCAATTATTTCTTTGCCCTTTGCAATATTGGCAGAGTACTGCTTCATTCCAAGCTTTTCCATTGTATTTTCGAATCCAAAAAATGATTTGATATCCAAATTGGCAGTCTGGTCAAAACATGTCCATTCAGAGTTTTCCGGGTGCACCTAAACCAAAATAAACACAGAGTTTAGATTCAATACAAAACTCGACAACAACAAAAAGAGCTCTTAACATTTACAACACTTGAAAATGACTTACAAAGTATCGACATGTTTCCAATATTTCAACACGAGTTGAAAAACTTTCGTTGAAAGCTTCTATGGTAAGAATACGCTTCCTACGATCAAGGGTATTTTTCTGGATGAAGTAAACATAATCCACTCCAATAATCTATGAGAGAACACAAAGGCACAGTTGTGATGGCTTGGATTACAACATCCTCTAAGAAACATTCGGAGTAAGAACCTTCCTACCTTTTTCAGAAGATATGGAGCTTCAACAATGAGCTTGCAGCGCCTTTCAGTTTTCCTCACAGAACCATCAGGAGACTCCTCATCTTTCAAAACCTCACACCCGACGAACACTGGTATTTGGGGACATGTTGGGAATCGTTTTTCATAGGCCTATGAGAAAATGCAAGTAAGAAGTGTGATTAGGGTAACAGATCACAAGATAAAAATGCTTGAAACACGTTAAAGGTGCAGGGTTAAGAAGTGAGTTAAGGCTAAGCACTCAGAAGTCGAAACTGCCCAGCATTGTACATATGTTGATGTTTAGAGACGAACTGTTCTTAAAGATACATATTAACACGAATTCGTATTTTGAGCTCGAATAAAAATAAAGTGTATAGGAATCTTCAACTCAAAAGAATTAACATACACATAACGAACAAAGGTATGGGTATGGAGCAAGGAATGGGTACCAGACAGACAACAGAGACCAGAGATAACCTTGAGTGAGAGCAGCTCATTTCTTTGGGTGAAAATCGAACCCTTAGCATAACAGAAAAGCAATTATGACCAGCTCACATCACGAAATTCAAATCCAATAACTTACCAGCATAACAAGTTCGAAAGGGTACTTGTAAACCCGAACAGGGGACTGATATTTCTGAACCATGGCTTCGAATTATCTATGACCGTTTGACAACATACACTGACTCGAAGTTAGTAAAGTAAGAACATTGCAATGCGTGGTGAGCAAGGTGCTTGCTTCAAACGAGGTAGCCGTCGCTCTGTCTTTTAAGTTTCTTGGCAAAATGTGCTTGACACTAAAATTTCTTCATTTTGTTTTCGTAGGGAGCAGAAACGATCGTGATCTTAGCTCATCACAGATGACAGACAGTGCGAAACGCAACGGCGATGTAGTTCTAAAACCGACCACGGGCCGAGCGGTGGCGCTGCTTTCTCTCTCTCCGCCCCTCTCTCCATTCCACTCTTCTTCTCTCCTTTATACGTCATCGTCATCATCCCTCTCGCCCCCTTCCTCTGTCCCTTCCCTCCGTCCGTCTTCCGTGTACGCACTGGGGAGGCTTGAGGTTCAGGGCAGGGAGGTTGGGTGGATTAAAAGGTTTCCATGCTGGCGGCTGTCGTTCATGATTTAAGTTAGTCCTACATCGTTTCATTAGTTTCTACCGACATTCGACGATGAAGATTCATATCAAAGTGCTGCAAGGACAGGAGTGTTCAATGGAAGTAAGTATTACATAGTGGGTAATGCTACTTTGTTATAAACAATACTACTGAACTTTTAATGGTTAGTTAATGAATAAGAGTTGTTTTCACATATATGATATTTACTCTGTGTAAAGCATTTTAAGTATACAATTTTTATGAGTATTTAATGTAAGGAACACATCAAATTGTAGGTTACGTAGATAAAAATGTTAGAAGTGTCATCGTTGACAATGAATGTTTCACCCTGAAAGCTTTAAAAAACGGTTGCAAGGTTCTCTTGTTTTTGTTTTTTTTTTGTTTGTTTTTTTAAGTTGTGTTGTTCTAATTAGTTTTTAAGCTCTACACTCTAGACCTCTCTCAGTGGGTTAAAATGTATGTTAAATTATTTTTCTGTGCAGGTTTCATCAGAAATGTCTGTTTTGGAACTAAAAGAGCAAGTTTCAACAAGATTAAAAATACCTGTCAACCAGCAAAAATTTCTTGTTAGTGGAAAGACTCTCTCAGGTAGGTTACTCTCCTTCAAATCAAAGTTCTAGTTTCCTTTCTAGTTTTCTGCCCATATTTTAGTAACTTATGTAGAGAAGAACATGATGGCAATTCTGCATTGTTTACAGATGAGAAAAATCTAGACCATTATGGAGTAAAAGAAGGAACCAAACTGATTTTAGCTGTACGTAAAATTGATGACGGAGCACCCGATGTTAATCACCTCAGATCTGCTGCATATACATTCCTGAGACGATTTTATTCAGATCCAGAGGCCAGAAAAATTCAAGAAGAGTTCATCAAAGTACTTATTTTTCTCATTCAATAATCAAGATACATGTAACTGCAGTTTTAGAATATATGTGAGATATGTGTGTTGCAAATGTTATTTATTACTTTTGTTGCAGAGTTTCCATAAATCTGTTAATAGTTTGAGTCTAGATGATTTGGAACGAATAGCAACTATGCATATCAATGAAGTAAAGTAAGTCTTGAAATTTTCACCAAGTGATGAGATGAAGTTGTCAAACGTTTTCTACTGGACTTCGCTGCAAGTACTGGAACAACCCTAAGGAAGGGTGTTCTCTTTCATAATCAACATTTCCATCTTGAGAGGCATTTTTTTTTTTCAACATAAGCTTTGTTGTATATATTGAGAAGACAAATATTATTTACTTAAATTGTATTTAATGTCACAATAAATTAATCCTATTTTGAATACATGACAAATTATATTTTCACACCTTAATTGAAATGCCAACTTTTTGAAGGCCTACTCTTTGGGACAAACAACTACTTTCCTGTCCCAACAATCGGATTCTTGTTGGTACCTGGGTAAAATGTTCTCTCAAACCTTGACAAAGTCTTATCTAGCTTTTTCTCGGCCTCTGTTCTCAAAGCGTTTGGTTTGTGAATTTTAGGGTGGTCATCTAATCTTCTTGCATCTGGAGGTGGTTGTTGAGTTGTAAACCACTGAGTTTTCTTGGCATATGGCATATCATGGAATTTGACCTTGTAAATGTACTCCCAAGCATACAGCTGAAAGACAAGAACAGTAAATATAGTGAGTCAATGGCTTTTGATGGTAAATACAATTAAGTTACAATGTTTTCAAATCACCTCTGGTTTTTCTTGAACCCTAGGGCGGTTAGATGTCAAATACTTATAATGACCCTCTAACCAAATGCGTCTTTCTTCAAAATCAATATTGGCGATATAGGGTTTATCTGATAAATATGGTTTCATTTCCACTCCAGTTCTTTCTCTGGGTTCTAACAGGTACATTTTTATGATTTGTTTTAGAACATCTTCATTTAATCCTGCCCGAAAAAGAATTCATTTAACAAATTTAATAAATAAAAGATGGAGTGTAAACTTCTTCATTGTAGAAATGACTTACCAATAACACGCCCTTCATTAACACTTTCAAACAACGATGCTGGCTTGGAGGCCCAACATAAATTGCACCTGGGACTTTCAGTAGAGTTCTTGGTGTGCAATAAGGTAGTATTCAGTTGGTACAAATAAAAAGACCAGTCTCTGCCATTTGTTACAGCTGTTTGTGTCAAAAGTGGGTAGGTTACATCATGGAATGTTGAAAAACCTGAAAAAAAAAAAGAAGTAAGTTTAGTGAACTAGTTTCATTAATAGTTAAAAAAACTGAAGAAGATCAGCTGCTTGACTTGTTATGTACCTTGATAGCAAGCCTGACCAAGAAGCCAGGAGAATGAGGATAAAATTGCAACACTGTGCGCCCCCTCCAATCTTTCCTCAAGATCAAATGGTCTTGATTCCAAAAAGTTTGAAGAGAGGAATGACATTAATCCAAACTCATGAGGCTCCCCTGGCCAGAACCCTGGACAAATTTGAAGAAAATGTGTCAAAAGTTTAATTAAGAAGCAAGGAACAATAAAAGTAAGGGACAGAAAAGAAAGAAGCAGATCTTTTTGCAGCCTAAATACCTGGTATTGTTGTTGCATGGCGAAATTTTTTATCAAGGTACAGACTTTTAGGTTCATAAGGGACATGGGGAATATCTTTCGCTCGTGGGTCTTCTTCCATTATGTCTTCAGCAGATGGCAAGGGGTATCGAGATTGAAGCTGCAAGATGGATTCTCCACAAAACTGGATTGGCTCATTGACTGGTCCATCAACTAATGATGGATCTAGGAAAGACTTCCTCACATTCAAATTAGTCATTTTTGTTCTTGATTTCCGCTCATCTAGCTTTTTTTTAGATGGATTTATGCCACCCAGGAACCAGAAGGCCTCTACCCTGGGATCTGGAACAACCTGTCAGATAACAAATTAAAATTGTGTTTTGTCCAGTCTTCACATTAAAAGTGTTCATGTCAAAAAGAATTGAATGGTCAGAAGAACTTACAGTGATTGCATTTAAATGCTTTGCTTCAGATACAAGACCACTAACCAGAACCCTATTCAAATGATCCACAAAGCTCTTCGTATAAATGTCTTCAGTCTCAAGTTTAGACAGTGTCTTAGTAGAGGTTACTGACAGTTCATGCCTCCTCCTACAACATTAAAAATAAAATCAATAATAAGTTTAAAGATTTAAGAGAAATGAACTAACAAACAAGCAGACTTCAACGTACCTTAAATAGTGATACTCAAACAAAATTGTTTCTTCAACTTGAGATTTTAATTTTGATGCTAGCTCTGATGCCTTACTGTCCAAAGATGCATCAGAATAGATTGGTTTTATGTCATCGTTCACCTCAATGTGGGTGCGAGTGGCAAACTGGACCCATGGTAAGAAATTGTAAGGGACGGTCTTTCCATTGAGACTAACCGCTTCCCATCCATAATATTTGGGCATATTCAGTTCGTATAATTTTTCCTCCACAGTGTCGTGACTCTTGAGCCATTTGTGCCACTGTTCTTTTCGCCGCAGTTTTTCGGCAAGAGGGCCCTGCGCCTCAATGGGAGGGTACTGAGGCTCGCTCACGGAAACCACTGCAGACGATAACCTCTTGGAGCACACAGACGACATCGGAGGAACCCATTTCGTTCCTCTGAAAGGGAAACGGGCGATGGACATGGCTGGAAATCACTGGTTACTGTCAGTGCCTCCTAGTACGCCGATTGATTACTGATGTTTCATCAATTCTTCATGAAAGAGCCAGATTTAAACTTGCTGTCCGGGCATGGACTCGTCTTCAGACAAGATACATACAAACCTATTGGCAGTCGATCGTGCAGATAATGTCACCGTCGTCTGCACTCTGTTGTGCTGTTGTGCATGAAATCCAAAATTTCAAGACCTTCGAAATGTTGCTTGAAGTTGACATTTGATATTCAAAACTTGACCAGAAAAGTAGGTGGAGCGCAACTTTTCATCGCTTTTATGTTTGGAAGTCGCGCTACCGGAACATTTCTAACCATTTTGTGTTTTCTCCCCAGTTTATTCATTCATAGGAGGTAACCTAGTAACTTGTAGAAGATGGAAGACCGAACCGCCAAAGCCCTTTGTATTCTGACGTTTGTGGCAGGATTTGCACTCGGATATAAAGCTAAGGAATGGAGAATTTTATGGTTGAAGAGAAGAAGAGACAGACTGGCCTCTCAATTGCGTGAAGCTCAAAAAGAATTAGAGTTGCTCCAGAAGGCACATTAAGGAGTTTCAGAGAGAATTTGGTGCCACTGTAAAAACTTCATGCTTCTGAGGGCTTCTAATTGTAATCCACATATTTCTACTCTGTACATTAAAGAGATATTTCTTGACCACTCTGTTCTCCTTGTCATTTGTCACTCAAACTTTTCTGATATTTATGGTTTGTCGATTTGAAGGAGTAGCAAAGTGCCCATCTTGCACTGCAGTGCATGATTACTTGGGACTGGTGGCTGTAGTTATAAAAGAGTACAACAGCAAATGAAAACACATGTGTTTTATATACATATATAAATATATAATGACATTTTTTTTAGACGTTCAGAATACCATGACCTAATACGAATCATAAGAAAATACTGACTCCTTTAATAGAACATTATCACTTTCACTCTGATATGGTTAATACATCTAACATTTTTATTGCAAAAAATTTTTGGCTTTGAAAACACCTAACAATTAACTTGGAATGGTTTAGAGTTATAATATATCTTTAAGATAACTTGCTTTTCACTTAAACATTTTCTTCTAATAATAGCAGAATACTCTTATGTGGTCTTTATAAATCAACCTTCATAAAATTACTTTCACGCCATAACCGGTAAATGTTAATAACTTTAAACATGTCACACAACAAATTTATTACAACCATTCTTATAATAGATGATACTGTCTAAATTCGATTGACTAGTTTACAGCAATGTCAGAAGTCACTTCAAACACAAAGGGAAGGGAAATCTGCATCAAAGTCAGAATGGTGTCAGAGGCAGGAGTGAAAATAAATGCAGTCTTAAATAATATACAACACTGGGCAGTAATAAAGTACATTCAAGGAGTCAAAATAATTGAAAGAAATTTAAGTCAAGCAAAATTTGAAAAGCTTAACGTTACATGCAGGCAACAATGTCACAAAATTTCAGTGAAGAATCAATACTACATTCAAGCTCAGTGGTGTGAATTCACACACTTGTCACAAATAAGTTTAGACTTGACATTCGTTTCAAGGCAGGCACAAATCAATTAGTGTCTTTTGATAACAGTACCTACATAAGCAATGTAAAGAACATATGGATGCAAAAAGTCTCACTCTGCTTTGGTAAAATTGGATCTAGTTACAGTTTGATTGAGTTTCTAATGAGTATACAAAATGAGTCTGTGCTTTTGAGTCAAGCTATACTTCTAGCCAAAATCAATAATTAGGAGCTCAAACTGAAGTAAGAAGGATGAGATCAGTACAAATTATTGTACTTTTCACAACACCTGTGCAATTGACTAAACTACTCAGGGCAGAACTTTAACAACAAGATGCAAATTATGTCTGATTCTAAAAAAAATAAAATCACTAATAGTCACAACTCAATCCCTAACACTTACATTGATTCACAACACTTACTCTACGTAAGGCATGTTTGCTTCTTTGCTGAATACTTTGAACTGTAGATTTTATTTCAAACAAAAAGGGTAAGTAAAAGATGGAAAAAAGATCCAAAACACACATGTCCTGATACAATTATCAAATAAATCAGCAAAGAGAGCATCAGTAAACAAAAGAATTTGAGGCCCAATGGTCCCACTAATTTTAAAAGCTGCACAGAGCACTGTCAGGCATGATTATCACAGCTTAAGGCATGAAAACTACCAAAGTTACTCGCATATAATTTCAGCCATATAAATAATTAATTACACAGCTAAATAAGAAGAAAATATCCCTCTTACTTTATAAGAGTCCATTTGTGAACCACGATTAAAAGCTACAACTCTTGCAGCATGAAAAGTTCAAGAAATAGAGTATGTCATATGCGAGTAATGTGGTAACAAGATGCAAGTTTTCTACTCAAAAATTAATTTCCTTGATTTACAAAGCTTATTTCAGAACAATGAATGAGATAGAGATATGAAATTCTTAGCATGTATCCTCAGACAAAGAGGAATCACTCATCAGTCAGGAGCATTGAGCAGTGACTGCGAATCCAGTAATGCTTCATTAGAGGCAAAGCTGTTGTTGAGTGCAAGAGTACTGTTCAATAACCCCGGACTCACAGGGTCGGTGCTTGCACTAAACGGAAAAAACGAAGTCACATGTTGCTTTGCTGTACAGACAGTGTGATTTGTTGTCCGCTCTCCTGCCTTCACTTCAGCAAGCTGCTCTTGGAGGCGGTCAATTTGAGCATGAAGAGCTCGTAAACCAAGATCAATTTGAGGCGCTCCCCCACCTAGGGAAACAATTTTGGTACAGTTCAATGAATACAAAATTTGAGTGTTTGATGAAAAATAGTGAGATTAACCAAACTTACACTTGATTTCAAGTAGTGGAACCCATCTGAAATAACACTGTGACCACAAAGCCAGATTGGGAAGCGAGCTGTATGAGTTGAGAACAGAACCAAATTTGCCAGGGTTGTACATTGGGTTTCGGAACAGGGCAATATCCTTTTCCACAAACACCTCTCCCCAATCCCATAATGTACGAAGTACTATTGGCTTACTAGCATCCTGAAATAAACATACAGAATTTTAGGATCAGGTTAAATTTAAATTAGTTAATGATGACTTAACTGCAGTTTTCTTACCCGACTTGCCGCTAATCTGTCATGTTCACAATCAAACAAAAATGTGTCAAATACTGTCATGTGTGCACAATCCCATAAAGTTGTCAGATATGTTTCAGTGAATTCAAACGCTGATGGATATTGACGCAAGAGCTGCCACACACAATCAAGATACAAAAGCAGAATGGGCGACTGAAAGAAAAAAGCATCCAAAAACTGTAAGAAAAACAGAAAGACTTCACCAAAATAATTATCTAAAAGAAAAAATGTTGTTTTACCTGCTGTACATCTGCATTCAAAATGTGGCCTAAGCGTGAAGAAAATGGGTGACCCATGGCAATCCAGTCTTTCTGCAAAAGTGTTTGGAATCCCAGGATAGTTCGGAAGTGAGAGTCCACGAGGAGTTGAGTGAGAGATGAAACCAAACATGACATGTCTCTTCCATCAGCCTCTTGAAGGACAACTGTGACATTGTCTTTGAGAAACGCAGCTGCCTTATTTGCTTTTCCCAAACAAGCTGACACTGTGTGCAGCCACCTTGAATTTTCTACTTGAGCAAGAAAGTGGTTGTCCTGGATCCAAAACTGCCGAACATTATCTGGTGAGGCACAGACACGAGTTAAGAATGAAGGAATATTTTACATAATTGCATGTTGGCAATGGAAGAGGTAATTGTACCAGGTGTGCAAAGATCCCGAAGCTTATAGTAGCTGTTGTAAACATCTTTTGGAGATGGAAGATCCTGAGTGAGTTCCATTAGTTCTGGTTGAGTAAGCTGAGGATGGCCTTTGCGGACATTCTCCAGCATGATATTTTCTTGAGTCCTGAAATAAAATTTGAAGATTGCTTATAATGTGCCTCAGCAAACTGTAATTGTAAAAAGTTTTAACAGAAGTCTGGAACATGACTTGGACAACAATAAAAAATATTTAAGCTGAAATATTAAATGAGTAGGGCCAAAATAAGGCAAAGTCCCTCCAAACACCATGCAACCTTACAAGAAAAGCACAACAATACACACTTCAAGCTAACAATCATAGCATTTGCAACAAGATCCCTAACCTTGCTTCAGGGACGATGTTTGACAAGCCGGAATGGCGAATTACTGAAGGCTGAATGACCAGCATTTTACTGCAAGCATAAAGAGACAGCCACAATAACTACCCTCAAACTACAAGAACATGTATCCCCTGGTGATACAAATCAACTAGACATACGCGAAAGAGGGAGTGGCACCACTCACATATTGTTAATAATCCACCAATAATAATTAAATGAATGCAATAATGTTAAATCAGAAAATAGAATTACTGTAGCTACCAATACATATGGAATTAATTAGCATAAAACAAAAATGCCTGAATTTCTTTCAATACATGTAGTATTATTAAACAACTTAAAGCATCAAAATAAGCCCAAAACTTATAAAAGAGAAGAGGTAAAATGCATGTGCATGGCTAAGCTAGTGCAGGACTTACTTAATCTATATTTAGATTTTAAAAAAAAAACGAATTGAAGTTGTGGCAAAATAAAGAATGTACTTGTTTTATCTAACCATCATCTCATTAAATATTTGAAACAATTAATGTAAGCGGTGTAAAACTTTATAGCAGCACAGCCCAATACACAGGTTACTCTAGATAAAGATGCAGTGTTGTGCAGCAGTGAAAGCTTCAGTAAATTTTCTTACAGAAGAATTATTTCTGAACAGAAACAACATATGTCTTATCCTGCCACTTTGAAGTGCCAAAAGAGGTGCAAACCAACAAATTTAAACCCTGAACAAAACTTACAAACCATTTCACACCTTACCTATCAGTAATTGTTGGTTGTAGATCAGCCATGCGCACTAGAGCAGCTCCATTCTTAGAACTCCAGCACCACACTGGAGGGCGGCTGCTTCGAAAATGTCGAGCTGCTTCCATTAGTTGACAGTCAACTAGAGAAGCAGGAACAACAAGCCACTCAGGCAGGCTGTTTCCATTGTTCCAAAATACAAGAAACACAATTAGAAAAAAAAACCATGAACATACAGTTTTAATAGAATGATAACAAATTAAACATTCTTCTTCACCTGATTGAAAGCTGAAAACCCTGGTTCACAGCTGACAACTTCCAGCCAACAGCACCAGTTCTGGTTAATTCTTTATTCCAGTCACTTGAATCACGAAACATGCTAACAGCTCGTTGACAGTTGTAGTAAGGCTCCCTGAAACAAGATTTTTGGTCATACCAAAGAATTATCAGAAATCAACACTTTCAAAGGCTGAGAAACAAAACTACATACCTATAATCATACGCAAAGAGTAGATGATGCTTTCTTGGAAAAGCATGATGGAGGAGAGCATTTGTTACAGTTTTACCGTGATTTGGTGGCGAAAATTTGAAGCTGAACTGGATCACTTTCATATTCTGAACACAATGAGGAAATGAAAATAAGAGTCTAATTAACACCATAGATAGCATTGCAAATTATGTCCAAATAAATGAACAGTTACATATACCTTACAAACTATGTACAGGCCTTTAACTTTCCCAGATATGTTATTTCCAGGCAACATTTTCCTGCGTTTGTCACCTGTCATCTGATGAACTTCGTCAACATTAGACAGACACACATCATAATCCCCAAGAAGCAAATTTTCCTGTAGACCCCTTTCCTGGAATCGGAAAAAAAGGAGAAACATGAAGCACCATAATTCGGTTACAACACTCTACTCAATAAAAGGTGTACCTCTCTGTGCCTTTCTTCAGTGGTGACAAAAGAGAGTTTGAAGTTTGTGACAGTGAGAATACCCGATTTGCCTTGTTTCTCACTAAGTGGAGCATACATAAGTACATTTTGAGCCTCTGCAACGACTGCCTCACCTGATGAATCAAAAGAAATATTATTACAATGGGGAAATGAGAAATAATACATTCAACTTAAGTATTTTTCTTACCAGGAAGAAGACGTGGGTTTAAAGTTTCGATAAAGTTTTCCTCAAGAGCGATATCTACAGCCTGAAAAAAGAAGGGGAAAATCATGGTACACATGAACAAATCATGAAACATGAATACAAATAGGTGGGGTTAGTGTTTGGCAACTGTCAAAAAGAAAGCTACTTTCATTCAGAAGGTTAGGTCACTCGTCAATGAAATCATCATTTGCAAGGTTAGAAACATGATTCAACAACAAAATTTTGAAATGTACACTGTTAAAATCAGATAATAGCAGAATGGGCGACGATTGTGGGCATTAGTAGACTAAAAAGCCGTCTGATCCAATTCTGTCGTCGACATACAAATACCTTGGTTTCGTGATCATTAAACCCAACATAGCTTCGAAAGCTCATCGACACACGTTTATCGCTCGGTTTAAACATGGCATCACGTCAAAAAAGAGGCTGTGAACTGGCTTGTACACGGAATCAACAAATGTTTCGATAACTAATCCACTGTTAAAGTTAAACGATGGACAAATGAGTTGTTACTTTCGTTCCACCTCCCACCGGGGAGAGATGAGAGCGCGGCAGATGAGCCAACCTCACAGTACTTCCGTCTTTTTCCAAACAGTTGAAAAAACGTCGCAGCTGTTGAATCGAGGTAACAGTAAAGGTGTTTTAGATAGTTATTAGCATGGAGGTAAAATTTTATAGATTTTAATGCTTCTGTTCAATGATTTGGTTTCGATCATATTTCGGTTTTCGTTGGTGCACTGAGGCGTCGTCTGCTGGCCAATGAACCGCCAAGTTGGTGGCTTTTTGTTTGTTGTTGCTAAGTTCAGTCCCAAGCTAAACGGTAAGAAACTGAAACTGTTCTGTTCTGTGGGAACTGAATCGTGCCTGCCAGAAGAGGTGAGTTGTTCAAAATGACGACTCTGCAACCATCGCACTCATTGTCGCAACTGCGAAAAGTTTTATTGTCGACTTTTGCACCTGTTTGCACCTGTTCCACTCGCGTGCGACCCGGTTCATCATGAGACGATTTCTGGTTCAAACAACATAGCCTTCGATTGATGAACTTACGTGTACCGGTAATAGCGGTGTAGGCAACCCGTTAACATCAGCTCGAAAGGCTGTTATGGATTGTGGAAAGTTACAGGGAGTGTGAGGATATGGAGTACAACAATGCTCTTGTGTGCTTGATAAACAATTTTAAACCTAGCGCCTGTCTCATTCCTTTGTGAATGTCTTTCGAAGTTTGGAGTCATGACACTCGATGAATTTCATCTTGTACCTCTCATGGTGAAGAAATCCTGGCCTTTGCCTATAAAACCTAGATTCTAACACTCTCCAGTGATCATTAAGTTGCCCGTTTTAGCTCAATAAAATGATTCGTTGCTGTATTTGTCTGTCCATAGATCCAGCCAACTATTCCATCTGGTTCCACCATTTTGTGTAAACAATATGGCAACAGGAGTCAATTTTGTGTCGGCATTAGTTGACAGACTTCGAAGTGAAGCCAAGAGATTAGCAGAGGACACAAATAAAATACTTCAAACTATAGAATTTCTTGAAGAAATGCTACAATCAGGCCACAGTGATTTAATTTCTAAAGGTAGTAAGGTGATTTAATAGTTAGAAATTTATATAATTTCTGACAACTCTATTTATTACCCATTTATCTTTATTTTTTCTCGGCAGCTCAAACAGATGATGCTCTCTACCATCTCAATAAAGCTGACTTGGGAGCTGACTCTGGAGCCATTATTCAAGTTGCAACAAATCTGATGAAAGACGCTGCTCAACTTTCAATGTGTAAAGAGGTATTTTTGTGAAGGTTTTAGAAATTCTATTCTTCACCTGGCCATGACATGTTGACATTTTGTTTTCCAACAGGTCATGAACAGTTCATTAAGTGATACAGAAAACAATGTCAGAAAGAATCTCGTAAATTCTATGTCCCCCACCAATGCTGACCAACAATGCCCAAACAAAGCCAATGGTGCTCCAATAGATAACTCATCGGACTTTATCTACACAGTAAAGTAAATACATTAGAGCAACTCATTAAAACTATCCCTTAAAGGTTTTTTTGTTTTCAATGTCAATTTCAATTGCAGGGCTGTGCTGCACTTCCCAACCACAAATTGCATCAGAATTGTACCCCAGTTAGAGTTGTTTGTTCCCAAAGACAAATCAATGGAATTAGATGAGGAAGATGAATCAGGGGAATTGAATGGCAAAAGAAAACTAGGTATTAAGAGAAACCTGTTCCCTTTTGTTATTCTTTAATTTATCTTATTTACCATGTGTAGTTCCTTGTTTAGAAAATCTAGGATTTTTGTGGTTTTCTTCCACTTTTTGTCATTAATTTGTAATCTGAAAATTGTTGTTTTAGTTGAAACGGTCTCTGAGCTGCCATCGAAGAGATTTAAAGTTGAGTCATGTGATTCACGGCCAGACAATGAGAGTAGTCTAGATTCAAAATTTCAGTGGTCTTCTGCAACAGCTGGTTTCCGAAACAAATTGTTTCAATATGTAGCAAATGCACTCCAATCTTTAATTTTTGATGCAAAGAAACGTGATTGCTTTAATTTTGACATCTTGGATCTTGGTGCCTCTGGAGAGGAGGTGAAAATATTCAAAGTGTCCAAATTCCAGCGAAAACATGCCACTGGAACAGCTGCTGTTCAATTGTATGGTGTGCATGTTGACCGAGGGATGCCATGGAGTAAAGCTACTGAAAGAAACCTAGGGTTGGTTGGGGAAGAAGAGGGCTTCTACATTTCCCATCAGGTGAGTTATTGATGACAGCTTTTTGAATTTTTGACAGACCTAAGTGTTGAATTTTTAAAACTCTTGACCACAATTGCCAATATCTTTTGATAGGTTCGCAATTCCAACAACACTGTAGTTTTGGCTGTTGCTTTAGAGTCCAATTCCAGTAACGAAACGAGACCCAACCAAGAGGACATGTTATATACTTTATACTGGCCTAATAAAGGCCATGATTTGCACGAGATGACTTTAAGAGAGATTAAAAGTAAATACAAGAAAGTGCCAAAGGATGAGGCTGAACTGCACTGGACCAAACACTATGAATCTTCTAAAACCATATGCTCCCATGCTTATTGGTAATCAAGTTTGTTGATGGACAGACAGTTCTTGGTTTTTTACAATTTTATTTGATTGTTCTTGTTCTTAATTTTTTAGGGGTGGGCGCTGCAAAAATGTTGCCTCGGGTAAAAAATGCGACGTTGGTGTTCAACGTGTAGTACACACTATTTTTGCAGGATATGCGCCAGGTGTATGGACTGAGGCAGACGGTCTCCTGAATAGCACAAATATACATGGGAAAAGAATGCAGATTGTTCGTCTGCATTCTTTCAACCAGGAACCAGACATAATTATTGGTAAGAATCCCTGAATGAACTTTTTGGACAGGTACTTTCATTTCATGAAGTAAGATTCATCAAATGAACTTGAGCTTATTTTCAAATTCTAGGAAAACTAATCCCTGATAGCTCTGTCAAAAGTCTGACTCAGGCACTTCAAGAAGATGCACATAAGATGGAAGAGGAGAAATTTTTGGACTAAACTGTGAAATGTTAGAGCCTATTTTGGTGTGTTGGTCACACAATGACATACATATGTAACCATACATATATATAATATATTATTTTTCTTTGTTGTATCAGTACATACTTTGCAATACATGTACAGTGGGACCAAATTCAACCCGCTTCAAGTGCCACATACAGGCAAACCAATTTTCTGTTCGGAGATTATTATTTACTCTTCTATTATAATTTTTGTTTAAACTCCTATTTGTCTTGTGAACATGTTGCTTTAAAGTGTATTTCATAAAATGATTTTGGCACACCCTCTCTCTCTTATTTTGTTAATATCTCTTATTTCTTTATTCGCATGAGTGGATTGAAGCTAGTACCCGCAGTTTATCATGCTTACGTATTTCGGCGGTCTCGCGTGGCATAATTTTTTGTAGTGCAATGCAAGTGCATTGCATCTGCTTTAGGGCTTCAGATACAAACCAACTTCGAGGCTTCGGGCTCCATTTGAATGGAACCGCTCTCCACAGCCAGGTTGTACAACCTGGGTTTCAAAATCAGATACTAGGTTCGCCTTTGTAAACATAAAATGCACCATAGAATTGATTGGATTCATTAGATTACGAATCAAAAAGTCTTTCTAGGTTTGCGATGAGTGCATGGATACGGCCTGCTGTTCGGACCTGTTTTAATCTTTTTCGCCGAGTGTGCCGCTCAAGCACTCGAACCCACGACTCGCTTCGCTGACTGACAGTTTGACGTGAGGAGAACAAGGTTGGTTGCCCGCACTATTTTTATTTATCTCATTCATTCCCTTGATGTCAACTTCAAATCAGCTTTTACTAGTGACATCATTGTAAGAAACATTTCAGGTTTCATGTTCTTTGTGCAAGCGAAAGCTGCTAACTATTCTGAAAGATTGCTTAGACTTTACCTTCTCACATTGCATAACCTTTCTGTGCTGCAGGTCCTACCTACCAGCCCACCTTCAGCCATCTGGTTTCTCCATCACTTAAACATGGAAATTGCAGTTGACCTCGTGTCAGAATTGGCTGACAAACTTCGGAGTGATGCTAAAAGATTAGCAGAAGACAAAGAGAAAATACTGCGAAGCATAGAATCACTTGTAGAACTGTTAAAATCTGACAGTAGCAATGCACTTTCTGCAGGTAAAGAGTTTTTTGCTGTTTTACTCCTTGAACTACCTGTTCTTTATTGATACATAATAACTCTCTGTTCTCTCTGTGCAGCTCAAAGAGACGATGCCCTTTGTCATCTTCACAAAGCTTACAAATTATCAGAAACTGTTCAAGTTTCAATTAACCTTATGGCAAGAGACGCAGCTCAACTTTCTGCAAGTCGACAGGTATGTTTGTGTTTATGGCTTGTAGATTCAGGTTTTGTGCTTCAATCATATTCTTGAAGTTATCTTACTACTTTGACATTGTTCTTTGCCACAGGTGAACAGTTTACTCAGTGACTTAGAAAAAGATGTGAAGAAGAATCCTATCAATTCTCGACAAAGGGTTATGTCGTACATGAATGCTTGCTGCTCTAACCAAACAGTTGGTGTTCCGCCTGATGAACACTTCGGTGCAACAATTGTAGGGTGCACGCTAGATGACCAAAAAGAGGCAAAGAAAAGAATTGAGATCATGTTAGAGTATGTTGATCAACGATCATGATCTCTTCTTAAGTGGTTGTTTTCAAAGCTATGGTTTCGTGCCTTCTTGTCTATTATTATTACTCAAATACTCTCTCCTCTAGATACGTCTGTCCAGAATGGAAGAGATATCATGTGATACTCAGCTGTTTTCTTTGACTTGTTTCGTGCATTGTAATAACTATGTAATTTAAGGTCGGGACCTCTTTTGTGATTGCATCACATGATCAATATAAACTATTTCATGTGACTCTTATACTAACGTAAAATGGTTAATTTCTTTGTTGTTCTTTTCTCTGTTTTTATTTGTTGGGGAGGTTTTTTTTTACTCTTAATTCTTTCTTGATTTCTGTTAACACTTAATAGTCATTCAGACGTTTTTATTGTTGTGTAATGATTCTACTGTAGGTTAATTAAACAATGAAAAGTCATTTTAAAATTGTTCTTATTATAGAATAATTCTACTGCTTATTATTTTAGCTGCTTTCACGAAGATTTTTCCTGGGGGCATGATGCATATATGCATCCATGATGTGAAATTTGCCACAGTCAAATCCTGAAAAAGGGTTTAGAGTATCAGATCCCATGCCCTTCCCTTGCTGTTATTTTAGTTTTCTTGTAAAGACACGCAGTGAGAAAGCCTGCACATTGTGCTAGTCAACATGGTTCTGATTACAACTGATACTTGTAAATGCATGTTCATGTGGACCAGTCACCTTTGGATTGCTGGTAGTTATTGGAAACTGTTTAAGTTACCAGTTGTGGAGTCTGGAACAGTTCTTACTTGATATTCAAAGAAATTTTGATTTGCATTTGTGAACTTTTTGTTAGAGCTTTTGCAGAAATCCCAACAATGTTCTTGTTAGTTGTGGTGGAAAGCCTTCAAGTATTATTTTTAGTCTCTTTCTTTTTTGTTGTGTTAGAAAAGTGCTGTGTCTAATTTCCTTTACCTAGAGTAACATTTTATTTTGATTTTCGGGTGATGGGGAGAGATACGGAAGTGAGTACGGGAGGCTTTTGACTATTGACACTCACATGAAACCATGTAACAGTTTCCCATTATCTCTCAAAACTATGCTAGATGTACTTCTTCTCTCAATAATTTTAATCCAACTTAATAGCCTAGTTTACAGGCTTTCTTCTGGTAGTGGCAGTTAATTGACAAGATTTGGGATCCTTTTTCACACTTGCTTTAAAATCTTTTAAGATCGCCTTGATTAAAATCGGCTGTGCTCCCACCAGTGCGTTAAAATTAGGTTAATCATTTGTTTTATCACTACAAATAGTGCGTATGTTTTATTGATTTTCAAGTCCGCTCTGTATAACATTCCGTCTGGAACCTGCATTTTAGTCTTCACATTCTGTTCCATTTTCTGTTTAAACAATTACTGTACTGAAAATTCCTGCTGGGATTTGCTCTTGTTAACACACTTATTTATTTCTGTCAATTGGTACACTTGTTAATGTGTAGAGTCTAGCTTTCCAAGTTTGTGCGGGAAAGTGCAATCTTGTCTCGTGAGAGACGAGCGACTTTGATTCATGCTCCTTTGATTTTTTCATGTTTTCCAATAAATAACTTGTTGCCTGAACGGCCATCAGACTATCCTCTGTCTTTTATCTTTCCTTTCCCTACATATTTAACGGTATTCACCAATCGACGCTCCGCAACCCAGATGCCCTGTGTGTGGCCACAACGTCGTAATGAGTGAGTTTGGCAGCTGCCTTCTCTTGTCTGCAGTCCTGGAATGAGAGTGTGTGACCACTCCCCTTTGTACGGACTTGACCACAATTGATCGTCTGTCTTTCGGGCCCGACCTGCCATGTCCGACTGCATAGAGCCCTACATTACCCCTTTTGAGTAATGTACGGTTGTGACTATTCGGACGGAAGAAAGCTTTCCTATAGGGGATAGCCCATGGGCATACGATCATGTGTGGTCTAGCCCTTAATGGTAATGGTAATGGGGTAGGCCACCGTCTCCACAGCGGTGTGTTGGTGGCCTCTGTCGCAGGCGTTTTAAGGCGCTACCCCCACCCCTCATCCGGGGAGCCTTGCGCCTGTGCACAGCAGTCCTGCCCTGAGCCGCACCGGCCGAGCAGAAGACAAGGGACAAGGAAGTGTCAGAAGTTTTGCATAGAGCTTGTCATCCCAAACAAACAAAAATGATTTTGTACGCAGCAGTTTGTGGATACGTGATTGCGTCGTTGATACTGTTTAGGTATCCGACTCTTCTGCATAGGAAGAAGAAATTAAAGTTCACGTGCCACCACATAAGCCACCGAGGAGGTGAGCATAACGGGAATCAATCAGGCTTTTGGTGCTCTAGTTTTCCTGTTACAAGTTTTATGTGTGTCTTTTTTCAACTTCAGGCTGTCTGTTGAAATTTTTATGAATGAAAGTCACTTGCCATCATCATGAGAAATCACAGAATCATTGTCTACCTAACCTACATTTCAACCATAGTTTGTGTTTCTTTATTTGCCAGGGTCCATTGTTTCTTGAGACTACTGTATAATTAATTTTTTATTGCACATGTTCAATGAAACTTGACCTCTGTTTCAGGTGCAGCTGAAATGTACGAAAACACGATGGCTGCTTTCAAAAGGTACTTACTCTTCTCCACCACTGGTTTCAGTTTTATTATTGTCTCCATGTTGTCTGTCATCAGTAGATCTCTTAACTGTGTACAATTAACATGTTTTCAGGGCTGTAAACCTTGGGACAGACATGCTTGAACTAGATTGTCACCTAACAGCCGACAACCAAGTTGTAGTGTCCCATGATCAAAATTTAATGAGGGTGTGTGGCTTGGATATTGACATCTCCAAAACTCCGTATTCTGAACTGCCTCTGCTGAAAAATGAAATCTCTGTGGACTTTGATCTTGGTAAGTTAGCTGAAAATCCCTTTAGTTTCCTTGTCATGTTTGGCATTTTTATGAGCTGTTTAAAACTTCAATTTCAGAGCACAACTATGTTGGATCTGGACGTCCAGAAGAGCGTCGAATTCCTCTTTTAGAAGAAGTTTTCCAATCCTTTCCCAACATTCCAATAAACATAGATATCAAACGTAATGATGACAATCTTATTAAAGAAGTGTCTAGACTTGTTCGGGACCATAATCGGGAGGAATTGACTGTGTGGGGTAACATTAACAACACAGTCACTTTGAAGTGCTACAATGAGGTACGTATTAAGCAAATTTATATTTTTTACTCTGGTTTTGAGGTCTATTGAAAGACTCTGCATGATTGGCATTAACAATGGTACTGTGCTGGTGCTCACAATTTGGTCTCAGAGAACTGTATGAAAGGGTTGTGGTGGTGCATGATGAGGTCTGATGGTGCATTGCTGGGACCTAACCAAACTATCTAACTTTTATTTCTATTACGTTTCCACGCAGAATCCTCGAATAAATTTACTCTTTTCAATGCGTCGGGTGGTGGAATTGGTTCTTCTCTTCTACACAGGACTCCTTCCATTTGTTCCTCTTAAAGAATCAAATTTAGAAATATTTCTTCCGGCCATTTATCTGAGGTAAAGTTTTTACACATCAAATGTGATGTGTAGTGAACAAATCCTTTCAGAAATGTGCAGTGATTAGACACATACTGTATTATTTTAAGTCTTAATTTTGACTGTCCGGATTTTCGAATCTTTTGAGTTTCTAATAATTTGTATTCTTTCAGGAAGAAAAATGACTCTGATAAGTTGTTCCCCTTGCACTCACTGATGTTGCGTGGAATGAACTGTCTTTTGATGCGACGCTGTCTTTTCACCCACCTTCAGAGACGTGGTATTCAGGTACAGAATTTTTATCTTTCTCTCCACCTCTTCCATTACACTGACATAATTTTAAAAGAGTCTTGATTCATTTTTGTATTAGGTTTACCTTTGGGTTTTGAATGATGAAGACGAGTTTGAAGCAGCTGTACAGCTTGGTGTAACAGGAATCATGACAGACTACCCTACGAAGTTGAAGAAGTTTCTCTCTGAACGACCCCAATTCATGACAGAAAAAGACCCTTACACCTCTTCCTAATAATTCTTGGTCTACAGTGTCTCATTAAAAGTGATTTTTCTGGTCTTTAAACTCATAGATTCCCACTTAAATTTGGTCTATCTGACATACAGCAAAAACCTGATAGCATTTTGACACTATTAGATATCTTATAAGTGTTGCAGAGCAATGGTGATATAATTTATTCTTCTGTAACTAATCTTTCAAAAGTGCTCTGAAGAAAAAGGAGGGGTAAGTAAATATGTACTCATGTCATATTTGATACACTTGGGTTAACATTTTATACCTTTACTGTCACTTCCCAGACTAAGTTTCAATTGAGATGAGAATTAAACAGTAAACAAACTCCTGTCTTTAATTTAGATAATTCTTGTAGATCTGTGTATCATAAAATGTAATGTTTCATAAAGTGTCCATCTTTTTGTCACAATTATGAAATGGTCCGAATTCTGTACTCCAGTTTTTTTTTAAATTACGTATAGTTGTTGATCTGTACATGGCAATTATTTTAGGCCTATGTTGAATCTCTTTCTTTGTAGGTAATTTATGTTAACTGGTAGCATTTTCTACCAGTTTGAATTTGATCATGGTACTAATTAAGAATAGATAACCAGGGCTTAGTGATTGTTGGTATTCATTCTCTTTATCGCTGATACTGCAACTCTGACTGCGTTAAGAATTGTGTTTTGAATGTCTTTTGTACATTTTTCCTCTATTACCTTTTAGCTACGTATTTATTTTGTTTACTCTAAAGACTCTTCAATGTACTAAATTTCTGTAAGAAAAATATCTCATGAAGATGGAGATGGTGGTAATAATCATACAGATTATTTTCACTGGTAAATTTTAGTTCTTTCTGTTTAATGAGCAATGCTCAAGGTTTTGTTATGTAATCTCAGGTTGAAAGTAAAGTCTGCTAATAATTTGTAGCTTCAAAGCATGTTTTAATTAATGGCGTGGCTGAACTAAAAACTTCATTTTTATATAAACATTTAGATTGTGTTGGCACAGAAACTGTGTTTTGTTTACTGTTCTGCCCTGATTCTATAATCACCTGTTAATTCTTAAACTGACTGTGGAAACTTTTTGGCATGTGGTTGTCGTATCAAATTTTCTGCATACGTCACCTGTTCATCGAATCTCCATTGACTTATTTGTTTCACTTTCTCTTTTACACATTATGTATTCCTTGCTTATTAGCTGTTGTAGAATGTATGTAAGTGTTCTGCATTCTTTCTACATTAGCAGCAGTATTTTACCATTCATAAGTATGGAAGAAAATATTTCCTTGTCATGATAAACAATCTAGTCATTAATGCCATTTTATTCCCAACTAAAAATAATTTTACTGTATTTACCAAAGTTCCCAATTTAGTATCTCTTTTTTAAAACCATGTGTTTGATAAGTTTCAATTTAACAAGACATTAATCATGCAGGAGATTACTTAATTGCGTGTATTGTTTCCTTTTTGAAGTTGCGTGGTGTGTGTAAGTAAGTGTTGGTAAGTGGAGCTTTTGTGTTTATTTCCATCATATTTATAGTACTAATGCATTTAGGGATAAAGGATTCTGTATGATAATGAAACCTGCTCCAAAGTTCTACCTAACTTTCTCTAGCTTAAAAACGAATATACCCAAATCACGTTTTTTTTTCAGTTTTCTATTGAAATTGTTTTATCTTTTCTCTCATTGTATATCATGTATTTTGAAGACATTTTTACGGAACGGTCATGACTTATTGAATGTCAATTCAAGCAATACTGAATTGTGTGATATTTTGTGGTTCAGAAATACCCATTCTCCTAAGAGTGTCCCCATTTGTTGACAATTGTTGTATCGTGTTTTTTGCCAGTTACCAAATAAAACGGCTTTTGCCACATGATGGTGACCCGTTTATTTCGCTACCTGACGCCCAACTCCAGTTTTAGCTTCGACTCATGATGCGGGCTGGTGCGGCCTGGTCTCATACAGTGTAGGACTCTCGTGCGGCCCTAGAAGGGACGACCTGTGGTTTGCGGGGAAGTACCACAGGCCAAACGCAAGGCGGCGGTGCCGGAAGGGTTGCCTACCCGGCGCACAGGCAGGCGGCGGGGCGGCCACGCACTGCCGTTACCGCCATGAGTGGGAGTGGGACGGAGCGACGGAACGATCCGCGTCGAGACAAATCGAGTTGACTGCACTCGCTGCACTCGCTGGCCGCGGCCCGCGGGCTGGGTGACTCCCCCTCCCCTCCCTCCCACACGCTCCCCCTCCCCCCGCGCCGCCCTCCGCGGTGACGCCGGCCTCAATCGATATGCTGGAACGGGAGGGGGAGGGGCGGCGGCGACGCCGGTCAGGGAGGGGAGGGGGCGCCGCGAGGGAGCGAGACAGACGACGCGCGCGAGAGGGAGAGAGAGAGAGAGCGCGCGTGCAGGCCGCTGGAAGGGTCCCGGGGAAGGGGAAGGGCGGGGGAAGGGAAGGCAGTGTACCACATCCTCGGACCACGGCCGCGGCTCCGCGGCACTGCGCTGGCTGAGACGACCGCGACGCGCTGAGGACGCGAGCCGTGTGGACGGTGTGGACTGAACGCTAGCCGCGCTCACCGCCAGCCCGCGCGCTGCGTGCGCGTGAAGCAGAGCCTGGAGAATGTGAGGCACGCCGCACGCCCCGCACGCACGCCCCAGCGTCCGAGAGCCTCAAGCTTTCCGCGGCTGGAGTCCCAGAGGCACAGATCCACGAGGCAGCCGCCCGGGCCGCCGCCCGTCCACCGACTGCACCAGTGTTTGGACTCGCCTCGCCCAGAATGTCAGGTGGGTCATCACTCCGCGCCGCTCCGCGCCCCCTTTGGGGTCCCATCGGGGCCTCTGGGCCCTTTGGGGCTCGAGGGGCCTGGCGGCCTGGCCCGCTGGGCCCCGCCCCGCCTCGCCCTGCTGGTTGTTAACCTTAAGCGACATTTCGGCGAGCGACGCCGCTTGGCTCTGCTTTCCCCGTCCGCGCCGCTTCTTTGGCCCCGCGATAGGAAAAGGTTAGCAGGGCTGGGGGTCCCCCCGTGGGGTCCGGGGGGTCCGGGGGCTCCGGCCGACCCCGCTGTTTCCGCACGCGGTTCTCGTTCTTTCGTCGAGGCGAAGCAAATTAAATGGAAAGGGCCGAGGGGCCGGCCGAAACAAAACGACTCGACGATCGCCGCTTTCCTTGCGTTGTTTTTACGACTGCCTGGCTGTGCCTGGCTAGGTCAGTGCCGACGAGCACGCCACGGCGACGCCACGGCGATGGGGCGCTTTTACAATTCCACAAACCCTTCCTGTGGATTGAACGATGCAGTCCAGCGCTCGCGCTTTCTTTGCGTCGCGCCTGTGACTCTTCGTCGTTCGTGCTTTTTGACAGGTCCGCTGCGGAGCTCTCCTCGTGAGGAAAGAACCCGACCTGCTCTTAGACTGCGATCGTTGAACGCGAGGAAGTGGTGCGTTCAGTTGTTGTTTTGGCTGCCGCAGTCCCGCAGCCCAGTTAGGCACCGCCCACGCACTGGCCACTGCCTGCTAGCGCTGGCTAGCGCCGCGGCGCCGCGGGGCACGGCGGCTCAGGGGCAGGGGGCTGCGGGGGCGCCGGGGAGTCGTCGCTCTGTCTCTCTCGCACTCTCGGGGCGACCCGTCTACGTGCGAGAGAGACAGAGCGATGAAAACGACTCTCGGAATCAGTCCGCTGCACGCCAGGGGCTGGGGGGTGGGGCCCCGAGCAGGGCAAGCACCCCGAGCGCGCCAACTTAAAAACTTGAAACGCACTTCCTGCGCGAACACTGCGCCACTACACTGGGACACCGCCAGATGGTTGTTCGGTTATCAATTTTTCGGAGCTAGGAATGAGGTTATGGACGCGTTGGCGCCGGGCTGGGCCAGTGGCTGGGCCGGGCTAGGCTAGAACGAGGCCTGCGCTGGGGTAGGCCGCCCACCCCACCCCCACCCCACCCCTTCCACGCACCCCTAGTCCCCCTCGTTCGGAGGGGTGCGCCGCGTGGGGTGGAGGAGGGCTGGGGTGGGTGGGGTGTTTTGGGTAGCGGGCTGCACCACTGTGCTGCACCCGCGGCCCGCTTTGGCTCGTGCCAGATCATCTCGGGGGAATTTGCTTCTTGCTCGAGCAAGCACTGTTGACCGTTCCCTGGCGCGACACACCCGCCATAGGAAAGCCAGAGCGTTCTCTTGTCGTGATTTCCTCCCACTTGACTTCGGACGACTCGACTAACACCTGGTCGGCGCCGACCACGCGGGGAGAGAGAGAGAGAGAACGAAGCGCTCCGTGGCGCCACTCGCACCTCCGCGACCTGGCGGCCTGAAGCACGAATTACCGCGACTCTAATTACTCGAAAGGGAAGGCCGAAGGGACAGCTCGAATTGCCAGTGGGTCCGACCGTTTTTCTCCCCTCCGTTCATTTTTCTATTTTTTTTTTTTTTTGTGTTTTGTTTTTGGGCCGCTGCTCTTTTCCGCGTCTCCCCTTCTAGGCCGCCATTATCCTAAAATGTCACCTTGATCTCGACCTGCGTGGCTGGCGGGGACCTGGACGGGGAAATGTCATTTCACCCGCCAGACGACACACCGCAGCGCTCCCTCTTCTATTTTAAAATTAAAATAAAATGAAAGATATTGCAATGGTTTGAAGCTGAAGAGAACTTTAGCTCATTTAGGAATTTGAAGACGCTTCCAGCTTGGCGGAGAAAGGGGTGGCAGTCGCTAAGGAGGCCTTGTCGGCGTTTTGCAGGAATGCGGCAATGACTCCACCGGCTCTTTTTTTTTTCTTCATTTTTCCGCCTTGTGGGGAATCGATCGTCGTACATAGCGCACCGCGTCAGCTAATTGGCTCGTGCCAACACAATTGTGTGTGTGTGTGCTTGTGTGTGTGTTATCTAACACAAAGTCTGGATACGCCCACTGCACATGCCAGGGGAAGAGGAGGCAGGGGGTTTAGACCCCTGAGTTACGTGAAGGAGGATGGAGTCCTCTATCAATGGGGAATAAGAGTTCAGCGTTGCGAGTATCCGAGTATCTAGCGCGCGGAGTATAGCGACGAGGGTCTTTCCTGCTGGTGTAGTGTACAGTCCCCTCTAATTGTCTTCGGGACGGCCTCTTCCCTTATTGTCCATGGCAATGGTGCCGTGGCGGTGCGCCGGGTGCGCCCTACCACTGCCGGCCTGGATGAAGGCCTGGATGCGGACCGCGTGGACCCGATACGCTGGGAGGGAAGTGCCTAAATGGGATCGCCTCCGTGCGGGATAGCAGCTAACGGCCACACGTTATCTATAGATATTGCAATAAAACCGCCTCCACCGGTCTCCTGGCCCACTGTGTACCGTCCACCGCCTTGCAGAGTCGGTGCGGAACAACGAGCATGACTGTCTGGCCGGCCGGGCGGCGAGGGGCGTCGCTGGGTGTGGCGACGCTATCGGTATCCATGGGAAATCTCACCGCTTGATACAGTAACGCCACAAAAACGCTCCGTCCCTTCCCACCCCCTTCCCGCCATCGGCCCGTCACGACGTTTCTTCCGTGGGTACCCCCCCCGGCCTGCAGGCCGATTCCGCACGGCGTTGTCTCCGTCTCTCTCGCACTCACGGGGCCTCCCGCAGGAGAGTGAGAGGGACGAAAGCAGCGTTCGGAACCAGGCTGCCAGCCCCCGGCATGGCGCGCAGCGCGCAGCGGACCGGCGGATAGGACTTGCTGGAGCGGTACGAGGCCCACGGGGCCCTCGGGGGCCACGGCCCGTGCACGGGGGCGGGGAGAGGAGGAGGCACTCGCAGACAGCACAGTCGGCCGCCGCCCGCGACAGGTGCAACACCTCCCGGACTCCGCGCCCTCCGCGACGCCGCCGACGCCGTGCTCGCTGGCTCCGCGCTCCGCGGCACGCTGGTGCTGTCACGCTGCCAGGCTTCGCGAACTCCGTTCCGCAGGCCGTAAAGCTGGTCTCCAAGTGCGTGGACCGCTCCGGCGAGTGCCCCGGGCTGTGACTGCGTCTTCGCGGTCTTCGCACACGTTTTACGCGGGAAAGTCGGCGTCCGGCGTGCGGCTAGTCACGCTCTTCGAGGGACTCCGCGACGCCCCTCTAGTGCTCCAGGCCAGCCAGGTCCGCCAGGTCGCCACTCTGGATCACGCGGTGAAGCCTTCCGTGCAGCAGCGCCGCCTGGCGGAGGCCGTGTCCGCCGCGGCCGTGGACATCCCGCACCCGCAGCAGGGCAGCCCCCGCGTCCCCAGGGCCAGCCCCAGGGCCAGCCCCAGGGCGTCCCCCGTGCCCGCGCCCCGCTCCACCGTGGCGACCAGGCCGACGGCGCCGCCCGCGGCCCGGCCCGTGCCAGCGCCCCGGAGCCGCACACTGGAGGACTTCGCCGCCGGAGAGGCAGCCAGGACCATGCCGAAGCCGCTGCCGCGCACCAGGACGCCGTCGGACAGCGTCGCCGTGGTCGCGGACGACGCCCGCGTCACCTGATGCGCTAGGCCGCCGCTTCCGGGGCGCGGGGCGGTACTTCCGGGGGACTTCCGGCGGAAAGGTGGACGGCAAGGGGGCGCGGCCATCGCGGCCGCCCTCCAGGGCTGGCGGTGCTGGCGGTGCTGGCGGTGCTGGCGGCGGCCCCGCGGGGCCTGGAGGCGGCGCGGCCGGCGCGGCGGGCAAAGGGCCGGCCACGCCGCGGGGCTCCACCGTCGAGGCCCTGCTCGCCGCGTCGCTCACCACGGCGGTGATGATCCCCCAGCCCGGCAAGGGCCGCAAGCAGGACAAGCAGGACGAGAAGAAGGCCGCCAAGAAGCCCGCGCGCTCGCCCAGCCCCAGCTACCAGTACTGCACGTCGTTCGTGTCGGCGCCGAGGCCGCAGTCCGCGGCCAGGGACTTCGAGGAGCAGCGCGACGCCGGCAAGGACCTCGGCAAGGACCTCGGCAAGGACGCCGCCAAAGACGCCAGCAAGGACCTGAACAAGGACAGCTCCAAGGACGAGAAAAAAGAGAATCCCAGCGCAGCGGCGAAGACTGAAACGACAACGCTCTCCACAGACAAGCCCGCCAGTCCTGCGCAGAGCACTGCCCCGACACTGCTAGAGCCGCCGGGCACCGCCGACACCGGCAGCCTCCCGAAGGACGTCCCCAAGGAGGACGCCCAGGACGCGCGGAAGGACGAACGCCGCAGCAGCCCGACCACCATGGAGCAGGCCAAGCCCCCCGAGAAGGCGGCCGCCGAGAAGTCGACGACGTTGACGTCGACGCCGCAGAAGATGCACACCGGGCCGGGGTGGTCGTACGCCTCCGCGGCGCGCAGCAGGGAGTACCCCGCGCACCCCCTGGAGGTGGACGTCGACGCCGACCTGCCGGTGGGCGCGGACGCAGCCTCCCTCGCCAAGTGCACGTTCCTGGCCAGCGGCCCCGCCCCGCTGGAGTACCCGGGCCGCACGTCGCCGTCCAGGCTCACGTACGTGCCGACGGGGCCCGTGCAGCCCGGCCTGCCCAAGAGCCCCACCTGGTGCCTGTCCTGCCCGCCCAACAGCTTGGGCTTCTCCACCGCCTGGGCCGTCAAGAAAGACGTGCCCGAGCCCAAGGTAAGCGGCGCCCCGCCACGCCCCGCCGCCAAGCCCCACAGCACTGCGCGGCACTTCGCGGCACTCAGGCAGCGCGACGAACACTGGACTTGGAGGAGACGGCTCTTCTCATCGACGCTTCGCTGCGCTTCGCCTTCGTCCGCGTGCGCTGTGCGTTGCTGTGTTGCTTCCCCGCCGCGTCACGTTCGATAAAAACAGTGTGGTACATCCTGCCGCGACCTCCCCGAGCCCCCATTTTTAGATAAACTGCCCTGCCGATAATACTCGATAATGCTTCTCGCCGTCGAAGCGGAGGCCGGGTCGGCGCGGCCCAGCTAAAGCACCGCCGGGCTATCAAACCGTGCCGCTGAACTGGGTCCACCCCGTCCACCGGCCGATTTTCCCGAATCACACCGGCCTGCTAACGGGACGGGCGGCGTCCAGTGGAGACGGCCGGAGCGTCAACGATTTTTAAAACGGCCTCAATACACTGGAGCAACATTATTAATGAAAGGCGGCGAAGGCATTGTTGCGTGGCGGCAGTGCGCGGCAGTGGCGGGGCATGTTGAACACGGCGGCCTTTGTCTGGGCCAGCGCGTTACGCCGCTAGACCGTTGTGTTCCTGCCCCGCCCCGCCCCGCCACCGCGCCGTACCGGTGGCATCGGCACGATTCGGCGTGCTTCGTTCATTCCTCACGCGCGGAAAACAATGCCCAACACACTGGTGTAAATCAACTCAGAAATTTTCTGATACTTTTGCATATCAGAACATTTCTCATGTCTGAGTTCTGATGTTTTTTCGGACACCTATTTCTGATTTTTGTGTTTCTGATGCCTCAATTTTCTGATGACTTTAGTTCTGATAACATCGGCTGGACTCATATTAAAGAAATATATCAGAATAATCATTTTCTTTTGTAAATATATTTTTTGATCTACGTGAGACTCGGAAACGGGGAAAACGTCTTCAGGGGGTCGAAACCGAGTCCGATCCAAATCTGCAGTCCAAATTGAGCTAGCTCGCCATCAACTCTCAAAAAGACAGTAAATGTGATCCGATCTCATTGAGATAAAAACTGGCCTAGTCAAATCTTGCAAACAAGACACTCACCAAATTTGAAATTGAAATAATGTAAACTTTCTATTTTACAGGGATCTCATTTTTTTGAACATCAGACATCAGAAACATTTCTGACGATTATGTTTCTGATAACTAGCAGTTATCAGAAATCAGATCGACTTATCAGAAAGGCCTCTTTTTCTGATGTCTCTATTCTGATAACCTATGGAAGTATCAGAAAAAAACATTTCTGATGACCTCTTTCTGATAAATCATAGATGTTATCAGAAAATACTCGAAATCTGATGTTTTTTTGTCAAGTTATCAGAAAATCCACCGTTTATCAGAAAATTTCTGAGTTGATTTACACCAGTGCAATACCATTCAGGCGGTCTCTTTTTTTCTGCCACGGTTTTGGCGCGTCCGTCCGCACTCACTCGGTACGGGGGTGGTTCAAATGAGACAATCTTTTACCGTCTTGGCCATATGTGCGCGAATAAATTGGAAAAGTCTGAAATACGGGAACTTGTTCGGTGTTCAGTTGGCACTCCGTGGTCCAGATGCAGAATGCAGGCCGGTGGTGCATGCATGTCAGGCGCTAGGCTCGCCTCTGCCTACTAGACGAATTCCCGAGGCTTCGCTGACGGGGCACAGTGGAGGCAGTCAAAACTCTAGACGCGTTTTGAGCTCCAGAGTCGCTCAACAGGACTCGACCCGAACGTGTGACCCCACCAATGGATTGCTCTCCGAACGAGGAATCCATTGGTGGGGTCACACGTTCGGTTCGAGTTCCATTTAGCGACTCTGGAGCTCAAAGCGCGTCTAGAATTTTAGCCGCCTGGCGGGGTGCCGCGCTAAGCAGGCCCAACGGCATGAGGTAAGCGGGCCTCGCGACGCCGGAGCATCGTGCGGTGCGCTACTTATCCAGCAGTCATTAATGCTCCTCCAGCAGCCGCGGTCGTGTCGCTTGGGGCTTTCCCTGGGGTAGAGGCTCGGCGTGGGGCGTTCGGACGTCCGCGGTACCGCGGGCCACGCCATGTTGCCGCGGGCCCCACAGCCGGGGCTTGTTCCCGGGGTTTATTGCCCCAGAAGACTATCCGTGGGGCTGCGGGGGCCGCGGGGGCCGCGGGGGCCGCGGGAGAGGGGCGTGCTCATTGATGCCTGGAGCCCCGCTGGACCCCACGGCGACCCCCTTCGGGGCCCGCGCGTAAATGAGTGTCATTGGCGTGGCGTGGCGGCGCAGGACGTGTCGGAGGAAGCGACGACTTTGTGGATGGGAATTGATGGCTCATGGAGACATTTGTTTTGTCCAGCGCTTCCTGTTCGTCAGGGCACTGCCAGGGCACTGCCAGGGCACGGCCCATGCCATGCGGCACCGGCAGCCCCGCCAGCCCCGCTCACGGCGCGACGGTCAATTGAAACGGAACGGGCGGGAAAAAAATGATGCTTCGTGGAGCGAAAAACGGGATTCGGTGCGTATCCCTTGGACGCGCTGGGTGCAGGACAGCAGGCTGGGCACTGCTTTCGTCGCTGTCTCTCTCGCTCCCTTACGGGACGCCCCGTGAGTGCGAGCGAGACAGAGCGATGGGCGGCGATGAGAGCAGCCTTCTGGGGCGAAGTCCCTTTGTCCCGCCACGCGCACGCGGCGGCGCTGCAGTCGCGCTTCTCAGCGCGTCGCACTTGGTTATTCGGGGTGCCCCGGTGGAGGGAAGACCTGCGAAAATAAGTACTAATGACTGTCTGGGGCGGCCTTCAGGTCTGCTTTCCCACCATCAGCGTCGGAGACAAATGGACTTTGCGACAGGCAGACAGACCGGCCGACGGACGGGCGCTCTTGAAATCGCTCATACTCTGCACGCCAAGATATTTTCTTGACGAAAAAAAAAATGAAAATAAAATTGGAACGGTGTGTTTGATTTCCCCGGCTCGTATAGCGTGTCAGACGCGGAGTGGCGTGCGCGTGACTCGAGCAGGCGGTGGAGGGGCCATCAAATATTGCGTTCGGAGTGCATCGATTTGAGCCGCACTCGGCGTCTGGGCCTCTGGGCCTCTGGGCCGCACTTGCCGGAAGGGCCGACCATCCAGGATGCACTCACAGTGTACTGCCAGTGCACTCCGCGTGCCTGCCGAGTGCAGCCGGTGCGGCACGGAGGGCACAGCCATTCCGAACATCGCTTTCGTCGCTCCGTCTCACAGTGGGCCAGAAGACCGGTGGAGGCGGCCAAAACTCTAGACGCGTTTTGAGCTCCAGAGTCGCTAAATGGGGCTCGAACCGAACGTGTGACCCCACCAATGGATTCCTCGTTTGGAGAGCAATCGATTGGTGGGGTCACATGTTCGGTTCGAGCCCCATTTAGCGAGCTCAAAACGTGTCTAGAGTTTTGGCCGCTTCCACCGGTCTTCTGGCCCACTGTGCGTCTCTCTCCCTCTCTCTCTCCCACTCACAGGGCGAGGTGCACGAAAAAAGAGACAGAGCGATGAGACGCCGTCCGCGGAGAAAATAAAGTGCATCGAGTGGAGGATGCTTCTGCTCGAAAGTGCCGCACCGTGCATGAGTGGTGCCGTGCTAATAGACAAGGGGGAGGGGAGGGCGTTCTCACACCACGCGGACCACGCGAGGCACGACGCGAGGCTAGGCGCCGTAGGCGCGCCTTCCCCGATCGGTCACACTGCTGGGCCCTGTTCGGCCCGTTCGCCTTCGCGTGGGAACGGCGGCAGGGAGGCGCCAGGACACGCGTATGGAGTCTCTCTCTCTCTCTCTCTCTCTCTCTCTCTCTCTCTCTCTCTCTCTCTCTCTCTCTCTCTCTCTCTCTCTCTCTCTCTCTCTCTCTCAATTTTTGTACAATGAATGTGGGAATCTGTTCCCCCCGCTGTATTTTTGTTTTTCTCGATTGATCTAACGTCCCCGCCTTCGGCCCTTGTTCCAGCCAGACAGCAGAGACTACATCGGCTTCGCCACGCTGCCGGAGCAGGTGCACCGCAAGTCCGTCAAGAGGGGCTTCGACTTCACGCTGCTGGTGGTGGGCGAGTCGGGGCTGGGCAAGTCCACCCTCATCAACAGCCTCTTCCTCGGCGACCTCTACAAGGAGCGAAAGGTGGCCGACGTCGGAGGTCAGTCTCGTCTTCGGAACACTGCGGTCGAGTCGGCACAAAGTGGGCCAGAAGACCGGTGGAGCGGCCAAAATTCGAGACGCGTTTTGAGCTCCAGAGTCGCTGAACAGGCCTCGAACCGAGCGGTGACCCCACCAATGGATTCCTCGTTCGGTGAGCTGTCCATTGGTGCGGTCACACTTTTTGTTCACATCCTAATTAACGACCCTGGAGCTCAAAACGCGTCCAGAATTTCGGCCGCTCCACCGGTCTTCTGGCCCACTGTGAGGCACAAGTTCCCACGCTGGTGTCGAAAGGGTTGCCAACCTCAGCCTGCCGAAGGCAACTTCTCGAGACAACAGCCCGGATACTGCTTGGAATACAGGCTGAGGTTGGCAACCCTTCCGCCACTGGGTGCCCCGTGCGGTAATTTTCGCCTCCATATATGGCCACACTGCACAGTCTGAAACGCGCTGGAACGTCCTCACGTGGAAATAAGTCCCAATTCGTCGTGTTTGTTTGGACAGAACGGCTGGAGAAGACGACGCAGGTTGAGAAGAAGAGCATGGACATCGAGGAGCGCGGTGTGAAGCTGCGGCTCACCATCGTGGACACGCCAGGTACGCTACGCTGCGCTGGGCTCTGCTTCGCCTGCGGTGTAGGCAGCCCATCGGGCAGCCGAGCGCCGCGGAAGGGCACCTCAGTGGGCCAGAACAGCGGCGCAGGCGGTAAAAACTCTAGGCGCGTTTTGAGCTCCAGGGTCGCCAAACAGAACTCGGACCGAACGTGTGACCCCACCAATGGATTCCCCGTTCGAAGAGCAATCCATTGGTGGGGTCACACGTTCGGTTCGAGTCCCATTTAGCGACTCTGGAGCTCAAAACGCGTCCGGGATTTTGGCCGCTGGGTTCGCTGGCTGACGCCCTGCTGGCCTCCTCGTTGTGCTGCAGGCTTCGGCGACGGCATTAACGGCGAGGAGTCGTGGCGCGCCTGCGTCAACTACGTCGACGAGCAGTTCCGTCAGTACTTCACGGACGAGAACGGCCTGAACCGGAGGAACCTGCAGGACAACCGGGTGCACTGCTGCCTCTACTTCATCCCGCCGTACGGCCACGGGTACGTCCTGCTTCGCCTGCACGGCGGCCTCGGTGACGAGAGAAGTGTCAAAAGGGTTGCCAACCTCAGCCTACGGCAAGCCCCTGAGAACGCCTAGTTCAGCGGTTCTCAACCTTTCTCGGCTCGCGACCCCAAATTTGTAGCCAAAAATTTCCGCGACCCCCAGGAAAAGTTTCGCGACCCCACGGGACCCCTCCTTTAGCATGCCACTGCGTCTGATCCGAGGCGGGCATTTTGCTCCCTCAACGGGCAATTGGTCTTTGGACTTTCCTTTAGCATGCCTCTGTTACGGAGTGCGATTATCAGTCTTAGTTTGGGGGCAGTATTGTCTCAAAGTTGGCCAAAACGCTCAAAAATGTCTTTGAAAAATCATGTTTTGGGTCGATTTTAAGCAGCCACTGCGTCTGATCTGAGCCGGGCATTTTGCTCCCTCAACGGGCAATTGTTCTTTGGATCTTCCTTTAGCATGCCTCTGTTACGGAATGCGATTATCAGTCTTAGTTTGGGAGCAGTATTGTCTCAAAGTTGACCAAAACAGTCACAACGGTTTTTCAAAGACATTTCTGAGCGTTTCGGCCAACTTTGAGACAATACTGCTCCCAAACTAAGACTGATAATCACACTCCGTAACAAAGCCATGCTAAAGGAAGGTCCAAAGACCAATTGCCCGTTGAAGGAGGACGAAATACCGCCTCGGGTCAGACGCAGTGGCTGCTTAAAATCGGCCCAAAACACGATTTTTCAAAGACATTTCTGACCGTTTTGGTAAACTTTGAGACAATACTGCTCCCAAACTTAGACTGATAATCACACTCCGTAACAAAGGCATGCTAAAGGAAGGTTCAAAGACCAATTGCTCGTTGAGGGAGCAAAATGCCCGCCTCGGATCAGACGCAGTGGCTGCTTAAAATCGGCCCAAAACACGACCCCAGCTACCTCGCCGCGACCCCTTAAAATTTTTTCGCGACCCCACTTGGGGTCGCGACCCTAAGGTTGAGAACCACTGGCCTAGTTGCCTGGTAGGCTGGCTGCGGTCGGCAACACTTTTGACTCTGGCACTTCCTGGGGATTCTGGCCCACAGTACTCATCCGAGTCCTTTGCTCTTTTTCAGGCTGCGGCAGATCGACCTGGAGTTCATGCGGCGGCTGCACCGCAAGGTGAACATCGTGCCCGTCATCGCCAAGGCGGACACGCTCACCGAGGCGGAGGTGGTCAAGCTCAAGCGCCAGATCCTGGCCGACATCGAGGAGCACAAGATCCAGATCTACCAGTTCCCGGACTGCGACTCGGACGAGGACGAGGAGTTCAAGACGCAGGACCGCGAGCTGAAGGCGTGCGTCCCCTTCGCCGTGGTGGGCAGCAACACCGTGCTCGAGGTGGGCGGCAAGAAGGTGCGCGGCCGCCAGTACCCGTGGGGCGTGGTCGAAGGTAAGGCAAATCACTGCCAACACCTCACCGATGCACAGTGGGCTAGAGGACCGGCGCAGGCGGCTAAAACTCTAGACGCGTTTTGAGCTCCAGAGTTGCTAAACAGCACTCGAACCAAGCGTGTGACCCCACCAATGGATTCCAATGGAATCCATTGGTGGGGTCACAGGTTCGGTTCCAGTCCCATTTGGCGACTCTGGAGCTCAAAACGCGTTCGGGATTTTGTCCACCTCCACCGCGGTCTTCTGGCCCACTGTGCGATATGCGGTACTGACCCAATCCCTTTCGCCCCCAGTGGAGAACCCGAAGCACAGCGACTTTAACAAGCTGCGCAACATGCTCATCACCACCCACATGCAGGACCTCAAGGACGTGACCGAGGACGTGCACTACGAGAACTTCCGCGCGCAGTGCATCTCGCAGATCAGCCAGCAGGCCATCCGGGAGCGAGCTCCTGGGTGAGTGAATGCCTCCAGCGTGACGAGTACGAAGCGTGACACAGTGGGCGCAGGCGGACAAAACTCTAGACGCGTTTTGAGCTCCAGAGTCGCTAAACAGGACTCGAACCGAACGTGTGACCCCACCAATGGATTGCTCTCCGAACGAGGAATCTATTGGTGGTGTCACACGTTCGCTTTGAGCCCCATGTAACGACTCTGGAGCTGGAGTTTCAGTTTCAGGTGTCTGAAATGGAAGCTGCGCTTGAGGTTAATTTAATTTTCAAATTGGATTCCTCACCTCTGCCGAACGCACCATGCTCGGATCACTCACAGTTCACGAGACACACACGACAGACTCGCGTAATACTAGTTTCCGTGAAGCACGGCATTTATCTGTCTGGTCGTGATGTGGCGCCGCGGCCGTGACCGACCTTTTCCCAATGACTAACGTGACGCCTTTCTGATTGCAGCAGCAAACTCAAGAGGGACTCCGTGATTAACGACGGTGTGATAACGGAGACCGACCGACTGCTCATCCAGAAGGACGAGGAGGTGCGTCCCTCTTATCGTGTCTCTGTCCAACGTTTTCCTCATTACCCTAATCTGCTGTGGCGTTCCAATTTTTCTGATTCTAGATACGACGCATGCAGGACATGCTCGCTCAAATGCAAGAGCAGCTGAAGCAGTCGGGGAACAAGAGGGACAGCGTTGTGAACGTATGAAAGGAATCTCGGTTGCTCCTAACTTAATTCATAGAATTTGTAAAGTTATTTATTGATTATTCTAACGCCCCCAGGGCGGGACTCGTGATAACAAAAGTACGTGTATATAACAGATCGTAGTTTATATTTGATGCAAACCCTGTTGACGTTGTTTGGAACGCACCCCGCTTGGAAGTTGACATGGAAGTTGCCGCACCTGTTTCTCTGTTTGGATGAGGCAACTTTCTTGCCGGTTTCTGAGCCAAAAAACGACATACCAAGGAGGTGGTGTGAGAAACTCGCGCATATCGTGTGTTCATAGTACTCAAAGTAACAATGCATACCCAGAAAATTCACTTTTTTTCACACTTTGGTAGCTTTGTATAATGTAACCTAACAAGGAAGCGCCATAACCACCTCATACCGGCCTACCCTCCGTCTGCTGTGTTTGTGGTTTCCGGGACCACTGGCTGGAGGACCTAAGTGCGCCTGATTCGTAGCCAGTAGGAGGCCAGTAGACTTTGCTGCACGCTGGTGGTTGTGTGCGGTCACTCAGTATTATTTACTCAAACTTAGCTGGCGATCGCTCGACTAAGCTGCTTTCAGACATCGAACAGTTCTTTGTAGGGTTCTAACTGTGAACCGAATGTGTGCAATGGATTGCTCTGCGCCACCGGGGAATCCATTAGTGGGGTCGCACGCTCGGTTCGAGTCCCATTTAGTGACTCTGAGGCTCCAAAGGCGGCTATAATTTTGGTCGCCTCCGCTGGTCTTCTGGCCCACTGTGCAGCTCAGACTGAACCACAGCGTTCGCTAGAGCACTGCCGCCGACTGTTCAGCGTTTGTTTGAGAAAAGCGCGTGGAATCAAAGTTACCTTATTACCTCCGCATTGCATCGTACTTTCACCCTTCACGCACAAAAAAAAAAAAAATTCCCAAACGTCATGAAATGACAAACAATATTGAAAGTCTTGAAGCTTAGTTTCTTTGTGATCTCAATATCTTTTTAGAAGTTTTTAATATTGTACACAAGTACTTCTTAGTTCTCTCGACTTGGATGTCTGTATGTCTTTATTGTACAAAGTCTATTCGTAACAGCATAATACAAAGTACCTTTGCTACTTCGTTGTAGTATTTTATTGTTTAGAATCTGGTCAGAATGGTCAGCGTCAAACAAGTATGGGACTGAAAGGGCACTTTTTTGTACCAACTTTGTTAATTTCTCGTATTGTACGACTGGCTATTAATAAAACCAAATTAACCGCTCATCAATACACTGCCATTATTGTGTTTTTTTTTCTCCCTTCCACCCAACTATTTTACGTTTACCGTAAGACGCGTGTGCAGAGCTGGGAAAGTTGGAAAGAGACGACAGAAGGAGGGCGAAGTCGAGTTTATTCCTGGGCTTGGGGAGGCAGAGCTACATCGAGGATGGAGGCGCAGCGCGGGAAGCGTTTGCTGCACGGGGTGCCGTTGTACTTGGCCTCGTCCCACAGTGTGCTGCCCTCCGCGTCGCTCTCCGGCAGGCTGCAAGGGCGGAAGCGCCAGATTTAAAATACAGCTTCGGGCTCTGACAGGGACACTGTTTCGAAACTCACCTGAACAGCACTTTGATGACCTCCTCCATGAAGTTCCGCTTGCCCTGGCGAGGGCTGGTGCTCTCGCAGACGGTCCTTTGAACGCACTCCTCGCCCTTGAGACCGCGCCTGCGGGGCGGCAGCAAAACCAAAATGAACACACTGCGCTTCAAGAAGGGCGTCAAAGAGCCGGTGTGTGACGCACTGGTTGAGGAAGGTCTGCACGGAGCGGTACAGTTTGACGCGGTGCTCGCGGTCCGGGTGTTGACCCACGCTGCGCCGCTGCAGGTACACCTGCTCGGCCTCGGTGGGCAGCTGCCACGCCAGCCCCGCCGTCATGCCGAAGATGAAGATGGTCTGGAAGGGCACGTAGCCGCGCACCGACATGCAGTACACCAGCTGCAGGCATCTTCGTGTCATGCAAGTGCAGGACCACACACGGCCACGCACATCACAAACTTCAAGATATTGTTGGCTCGAACCTGAATGGAGCTGCCCCTGGGGAAGGTCAAGTACCGCCGCTTCCTGGACAGCACCCCGGACGGACCCTCCGCGCTGACCGCCGCCGTGGCGTTGCTGGTGTCGCCGACGTCGCCGTGGGCGAGTCGCCGACCCGGCAGGCGGTGCGGCGGCAGCCTCAGCTCGAAGGGCGTCGTCGCGGACGTGCCGAGCACCGCGACGACGAGGACGCCGACGACGGCGAGCAGAGGCAGGAGGACTCGGGGCAGCATCGCGACGGCCAGCAGTGCGAAGTGTGGCGGCGACGGGGTCGGGGCGTGCCGCGGCAAGGCGGGGCGGGGCGGGGCGGGGCGGGGCGGGGCGGGGCGGGGCGGGGCGGCACCGCTAGGTGTTAACGCGATCAAACAGCCGTTAGAACGGGAGCGCACCGTTCGCACCAACCCGAAGGACACAGTCACCCCGTGGTCCCACTGTCCACCGGAGAGCTTCGCTGCCCCGCGCACTGTCTCCGCACATCCTTCACTTCAGGTAAGCCAGGCCAGTCCACTTTTGGCGGAGCCAGGGGGGCTTTGAGCAGAGGGAAAAGGAGAATTTCACATTGAAAAGAAATGCCATCAATGCGAAGATGAGAGCGCGCACTAAAATTTCAAGTTCCCGCCCTTTGACCCGGACGACGCTCAAAGCCGCGCGGCATCGCGGCGTGCCGTTGTTCGTCTAGAGGAGCCCATCCTCCTAGTGCCTCTAATTGCAGTTCACTCACCCGCCCCCTCCCCTCCCGCCGTCGCCGAGGTGCGACCTCTGACGCCGCAGTCAGCCCCTCGCCGTCGGCGGCCATGCACGTCAAGGCCCTGCTGGTCGTCACCGTGCTGGTCGTCGCCGTGCTCGTGGCGGTGCGCTGCGCCAGTCCGCCGTCCTCGCCGTCGTCGGCGTCCTCGCGGTCCTCTCGCCAGAAGCGGTTTATCCACTTCCCGTACGGCAGCACCCTCCGGGTGGGTGGCCTAGGGGGCCGCGGTGGCGGTCCGCCGCCGAGGTCGTCGCCCTCTGTCTCTCTCGCACCGACAGGGAATGAGTGCGAGGGACAAACGTGGGCCAGAAGACCAGTGGAGGCGGCCAAAACTGTAGACGCGTTTTGGGCTGCAGAGTCGCTAAATGGGACTCGAACCGGACGTGTGACCCCACCAATGGATTCCTCGTTCGGAGAGCAATCCATTGGTGGGGTCACACGTTCGGTTCGAGGCCTGTTTAGCGACTCTGGAGCTCAAAACGCGTCTAGAATTTTCGGCCGCTCCACCGGTCTTCTGGCCCACTGCGCAGCGAGCCCCAGGACCCTGGAGGTGAACGCCGTGCTTGTCCGCAGGTCGGCCTCTCCTCCAAGTGGTCGACGCTGTTCGACTGGTCGGGGCCCGGCGCCTTCTGGACGCAGGGCTTCAACTGGGGCATCACCTTCGACCTGCCCAACGGCACGCAGCTGCTCGCCCCCGCCGGGATCGCCGGCCGACGCAGGGGCCGCCGCGACGTGTACCGCCGCATCGAGACCGCCCTCGACTCGTGAGTTCCATGCCACTTGCGTCTCACTTTGTGTTGCGATTCTGTGAGTCGGTGAATTTGGAGGACCTGTGTCTGGCGTTGCCAATGGCGTTGCAGGACGGGCCTGCTGGGGCGTCCCTGCCTCCTCCGAGCCATCTGCGAAGCGCCCAGCGCCCTCACGCCGGGCGGCAACGTGGTGGCCGAGCTGCTGCGCGTCGTGCTGCAGTGAGTGCTTTACAGTGCTGTCGCTGTACTATGCAGCCACGGCGCACAGTGGGCCAGGGCGGTCAAAATCCCAGACGCGTTTTGCGCCCCAGAGTCGCTAAATGGGACTCGAACCGAACGTGTGACCCCACCAATGGATTGCTCTCCGAACGAGGAGTCCATTGATGGGGTCACACGTTCGGTTTGAGTCCTGTTTAGTGACTCTGGAGCTCAAAACGCATCTAGTAGTTTTCACGGCGTGACGTCGCGTTGCTCTTGGCGTTGCTGCGCAGGTACCCGCTGGCCAGGGCAGACGGCCCCAGCCACTACGACAGAGCCCAAGAGGCCGGCGCCAAGGGGCTGGACTGCGGCGACCTGTACGCCGACTGCCCCGTGTCCGTTCTGGGACTGCTGCTCTCGCTGCGACCGTCAGGTGCGTCCTCCAGGTCTCCAGGCGGCTAGCCCGGACTGACTATTGGGTGCGACTCGCGTGTGACTCGTGACCTGCTGCAGGATGAGGGCTGTGCTCGCTCCGCTCCTCCTCGCCCCCTGCTGGTGGCCGTGGTGGCCGCTAGCCCGCGGCCGGGACTTCTGTCTCGACACAGGCGTTACCTCACCTTCCCCGAAGGCAGCACCTTCAATGTAAGTCTCACCAGTGCAGTGCCACACTTCCAGTCAGAAACCGTCCCACAGTGGGCCAGAAGACCGGTGGAGGCGGACAAAACCCTAGACGCGTTTCGAGCTCCAGAGTCGCTAAACAGGGCTATATCTGAATGTGTGACCCCATCTATGGATTCCTCGTTCGGAGAGCATTCCATTGGTGGGGTCCCACGTTCGGTTTGAGTCCTGTTTAGCGACTCTGGAGCTCGAAACGCGTCTAGGGTTTTGTCCGCCTGGCCCACTGTGCGTCCGTTCAAATAGGCCTGACCGCGGCGCTGCTTCGCTGCTTGCAGCTGGCGCTCTGCATGTCCAACAAGGCCTACTTTCTGGCGGACTCGGGGATCTACACGGAGGGCGTGGCGTGGGGCTGCTCCTACGACCTGCCCAACAACACGGCGGCCTTGGCGTCGGCGGGCGCGGGCGTGGAGCCCCTGGGCCTGCGCCGCAAGGACCGCGTCGACCTGTACCGCCGCGTCGAGCGCGCCGTCGACTCGTAAGGCGAACAACCAGAACAACAACACCATTTTTTGGGGTAAAGTCTAAGTTGTTTGTTTGTTGTTGTTTTTTCCAGCGCGGGCCTCGACGGCCACGCGTGCATGCTGCGGGCCATCTGCGAGGCCGAGACGCTCCTCGGGCCGCGGACGCACCTCATCATGGAGTTGTTCCGCATCGCGCTGGCGTGAGTGGCTCCCGTTTCCGTTGCGTTTCCGTCGCTCTGTGTCCCTCGCACTCTCCAGTACGCCCCATGAGTGCGACAGAGACAGAGCGGCGAAATCGGCTCTCCGTCTTCAGCGCGTTACGTGAAATGTGTGCTCGGTGTCCGCAGCATCCCCATGGAGCGGTACTCGTCGCTGCGCGAGCCGCACGGCCACCAGGCCTACATGGCGGCCAGGCACAACGGCATGCACGGCGCGGACTGCGGCGCCGTCTACCCGCAGTGCCCCATGTCGCTGCTGCAGATCGCCACCTCGCTCGTCCCCGCCTCCTTGACATGAGTCCTTGACAATAAAGTGCTGTCGCAATTTCCGCCATTGGTTTCTTTTAAGTCCCTTCCTATCAGTGTATCTGTCTGTCTGTCTGCCTTCCTGTCTTTCTGTCTGCCTTCCTGTCTTTCTGTCTGTCTGTCTGTCTGTCTGTCTGTCTGTCTGTCTGTCTGTCTGTCTGTCTGTCTTTCTGTCTGTCTGTCTGTCTGTCTTTCTGTCTGTCTGTCTGTCTGTCTGTCTGTCTGTCTGCCTGTCTGTCTGTCTGTCTGATTGAAATGGTGGAGTCGGTGAAGTATTTAGGGTTGATAGTTGATAAACATCTAAACTGGAAAAGCCATGTTAAAATGCTAAGAGGGAAGTTGAGGTGTTGCCTGTATAAATTATCACAATTAAGTAACTGCTCCCCACATAACATAGTAAACATGGCTTATACAGCCCTCTTTGAATCAGTCATGAGTTATGGGCTTGAAGTGTGGGGATCTGCCTCGGATACAAACCTGCTCCCCATTAAATCATTACAGCAGAGAGCTGTAAAGATTGTGAAGAAAAAGCAAAGAGTTCCATTACCAAATAATATTTTAACATTAGAAAATTTGTACAAATTAAAAATTTTAAAAAGAAATTATTTTAAGAAAGATTTTAGAAATATAGCGCAACATAGGTACTTAACGAGAAATGAGAGTTTCCAATATAAGATAGGTATGAATAAGTATGGTGATAGACTGACAGAGGTGGTCGTGCCAAAAATACTAAATAAGATGCCAGTAGATTTAAGGAATATACAAAGTCAAAGTGCCATGAAAACAAAATTAAAACAATATTTTTTAAGTGCAAACAATTGAAAAATCTAAATAACAAAAAAAGGTGGAGTTTAAGTTGTAAAAGATTTTTTTGTTTGTAAAAGATTTTTGTTTGTTTGTTTTTATTGATTGTTATGACAGAAAGACAGCAAATCCACCCCTGACAAGCAGTCATGCTTAGGGGTTGTCTTTTTCTAGTTTTAGGCAGTTTATGATTACTATGTTAATGTTTCTATCTGTAAGTGCCTTGTTTAAGTTTTTCTTAATAAAATACGAATTGAATTGAATTGAATTGTCTGTCTGTCTGTCTGTCTGTCTGTCTGTCTGCCTGTCTGTCTGTCGTGGCTACTGGCCAGCCAGCGCGCAATAGCGCCTCGTCGGTAGGCAACCACCCAAGTCCAGCACTCGTGAGTGCCGCGGGTCTGCCTACCCTTCTCTTCGCAGGGGCTTCCCCGGCTTCTCGCTCCGAGGCAAACAGAAAATGAGTTCCGAAATTGGCGTTGGAAACCTTGATTTTATTAGGCATTCACACGCGATGCACCAGTGCGCCCTGGCGCCTTGAAGAGCAGATCGGAGAGAGTAATTTAGACGGTGGGGTAGCTGGCCTCGGAGGCGATACCGCAGTTGTTCTTCTTGTTGCGGGCCATCCTGATGTAGCCCTTCTCACCCCAGGAGGTGCCCCAGGAGTTCTTGACGATCCAGTAGTCCTTGTTGCGGCCGTCGCTGCCGTAGCCGACGGCGAGGACGGCGTGGTCGAGGTCGGTGGTGGAGCAGGAGGGCTCGTTGTAGATGCCCTCGCTGTACATCTGGAAGGACCAGTTGCTGGCGTCGATGGCGACGGCGATGGGGCCGACCTTCTTGACGGCGTCCTGGAGGGCCTTCTCGGAGCCGGCGGCGATGTCGACCAGGCCGGTGACGGTGGCGGCGCTGTTGTCCTTGGAGTACCTGCAGGTGCCAGCCTGGCGAGCAGAGACACCGGTGTAAATGCCATCAGGATTTTCTGATTGAATTTCTGATTTCCAATCAGAAATCAGGATTTTCCTGATTGATTTTCTGATTTCTGATTGTCAATCAGGAATTATTTCTGATTTCTGATTGTCAATCAGAAAAAATCCTGATTGAGTACCGACATCAGAAAATTCCTGATTTCTGATGTCTGAGTGCCAATCAGAAATTTCCTGATATTTGATTTCTGATTGGCAATCAGAAAATTTCTGACTGCTTTTCTGATTGCTGATTGCCGCTCAGAAATCAGAAAAGAACATCAGGAAATTTTGATGGTGTCAAAGTACAGATGCCTATAAAATGGAAAGTATTTGCGATATCGGTTTCAAATTTGGTATGTGACATGTTCAGCCGATTTGACTAGGGCCATTTTAATACGACACTGTTAGACTGACCGCCCGGCGGATCAAAACGCCACAACGATTCGCGGCCTCCGCCATGCCTGCGCTCACTGCGCTCACCTTGGTCTCGTAGGGGTAGGACTCCTCGGTGTCGATACCGCCGTTGTCCTTGATGTAGTTGAAGCTGGGGTCCATGTCACCGCCGTCGCAACCGTAGTTGCCGTACTCGTTGGAGCAGTCGATCAGGTTCTGCTCGGACAGCGAGACGAGCTTGCCGGTCTTCTTGAACATCTGACCCTCCAGGGCGCCGGTCTGCAAACCGAGAGAGAGGTCGAGCGGATGAGCAAGGAGGCATAGGGCTTGACGCGTTGGTGCGAGAGAGAGAGAGAGAGAGAGGCTACTTACGGTGGAGAAAGACCAGCAGGAGCCGCACTGGCCCTGGTCCTTGATGGGGGTGACGTAGCCCTTGGACCTCCAGTCCACCTTCTTGTTCCAGGGCCAGGGGAAGGGCTCGTCGTCGACGGTCACCTGGTGCACGGGGCGGTCGGCGTGCTTGACGCCGCTGCGGTACCCGTTGAGCTTGGAGGTCACCTCGTGGGTCAGCATGTCGGCGTACTTGTTGACGCCGACCTTGAAGGTCACCTCGCCCTTGTCGAAGCGTTCGTTGTGCTTGGCGATGTTGACGAGGTTCTCCTTGAAGATCTTGACGCGATGGGTCTCCTCGACCTCGTTGGCGTACGTCTTGCCGTGGTCGGCCTTGAACTTCTGCCAGTGGTTGGCCACCTCCTCGTCGGAGGGGATGTTCCAGCAGGTGGCGACGGCCGCCACGGCCGCGAGGACGATCAGGAACTTCATGGTGCTGCAAAGCGTGCAAAAGCCGGTCATTAGATGCGCACTTCTCGTCTCGTCGAAATCGCAATGTCAATACGAATGCCAACGAGGAGGCGCGTACTTACCAATCAGGGAGCACTGAGTGTTGCCGGCGCAGGGATCTGCTTTGATTTATACTGCGAATCCCCACCCTCTTTTTAATCGCCTAATCTCGGCGCCAGGCCACTTGCGCGCGCCGCTACACTGCAACAATTTAACAGACGCAGAGAAACGCGACAATCGCTCCCTCTTGAACACCCATTAAAATCATTGGTGCATTGCCCTGCCGAGGGTCCAAATGCCCCTTGCAATGTGAGGCCTTCTCTTTTCCCAACAGTGTAGGAAAATCGTGATTGTTCTTCATCGCCTTCGCACCTATCAGCCAGCCCCACCCAAGCAAGATAAAACGGAATAATGCTGGGGTTTCGTGTAGAAATCAAGTGAACTGCAAATCATTATGAAAAAGACCGTTATTTAATAGGTATGTCATTGTCAAGCATCTTTATTTGCGAACCATCGTGGCAGAGAGGGGGGGAGAGAAAACAGGGGATGGTCTTTTAAGTGAAAAAAAAGTCAGGTGCGCAATGTGTGCGTCTTATCGGAGTAAGAGCGGAAACAACAACACAATCGACACAATCCCCCAGGTGCATGTTGCGTGTTCCCGTTCCGAAAAACAAGCTGTGTTTCACGCGAACAGCGCGTCTGTCCCTCCGGAAAGCATAATTCTAGTTTCATTTTATTGGGGGCGCTGTCGAACTTCCCAAGGAGAACAGGTAGTCAAAATCAAATCAAGGTCATGTTGACTTAACTTGGACTTTTTGCTCCCTGGGTTGGATTGTACTGAGGTGAACTGAGCCAAAATCCGGCAAAATGGAAGCGCGGCAAAGCGGAGCTTGGATAGAATCCTGATACATGGATGCAACCATCGACATTGAGGACCATTGACGTCAGGCCACCAGAATGTAGGTGGCTTTCCATTGCTGCATCGAAAGACATCCCGCCATCTCACACACTTGAAAAAGTCGGTACCTTGTCATCGTGAAGGAGTAGCACTTGAACCTTCGCCTATCCCACGACACGCTTTGAACTTCGGGACTACTCGTGGGAAAACTTTCTTTTCTGGTGATCATTTACTACTCAGAGTCATTGTCATCGCCAATAACTGCAGCTAGATGGGTATTTTGGGCTTTGCTATTCTACAGAGCCAACTGATCTAAACTAATAGTTTCGCCTCATTTTTGGTTTGTTGTTTCGTCTCCACCATCGGGTAAAATTCGCCGAAATAGACTTTTTCGGGCCAAGAGAAGATCCCTGAAGGGTTTTAGTCCCCTTGTTTCACAATACATATCTTTCTGATCCAGTACAGTTCCAATGCGTTCAAATAAATGGCGCGAGAGGAGAGGCCTGGGTTCGGGCTCTTCGGGCTTTTCCGCCCGGACCTCGGGACTGCTCGGAAGGGAAGGGGTGGGGGTACTCTCACTCTTTCTGTTGTGTTGCCGCCAGTTGCCGCACGCTACAACTTGTTTAGTGTTGACATCGCTCGGGCCAAGTTGTTGAATTTTGGTCTTTATCGGTGTTTACCAAGGTACTTCATCTTATCCATTCATTCAGAACAGGTGTTTCTTTCATAATTTCAAAGAGTCATTGTGTAATGCTGTAACATATGGGCTGTCACGTGTCAAATGTCATGCACGCTGAGGTTATGGTGCCCTGTGTCTCGCCAGAAATTACTCTGTTTCTGTGGAGAATATTCGGTAACAGGTCACTCAGCGTTAGAATTATGAGCTAGAAACCAAGTTTGTATCAATATCCAGAAATAATTGGTTCTATTTGGTGTTGTGCTACTTACAAGGTTAATAGTTTGCTTCGAGGTGTTGCTTTGCATTTCAAAACATTGCACTCTGTTGTGACACCGTTTTTAACATGTCCCGTGCTTGACAGGCCTTTCCCTTCTTGTCAAAATTATTCGTTTTTCATTCATAATTATTGGATGCGTTTTCCACTTTCTCTTCCTAGTTTGTTAGTCCAACGGAATGTTTTCCATTCTCTGTTTCATACTTCTTTTGAATTTATTCCAGTCTGGCGTTGCATAATTTTCAACAGTAAAGATGAGACTCCTTGACACCAAGAAACTTAATGAACTTCAAAATAAGACCGATGTTATTAGGAATATCTGTATTTTAGCTCATGTTGATCATGGCAAGACAACGCTGGCCGATTCTCTTGTTGCCAGTAATGGTATTATATCAGCAAGAATGGCTGGAAAATTAAGGTAAAGTTTTGAGCATCATATACCTCAATATAAGACTCTCATTAATTTCAATTTAATCAAACGTTGGCTTGGATTCTATGTTTAGGTACATGGATAGTAGAAAAGATGAACAAGAGCGAGGTATCACTATGAAAAGTAGTGCTATTACTCTTTATTATAACACAGGTTTGTATTCTGTACAATAAACTTCAAAGAAAATTTAAACCTGCCATTGTAATTAAAATTTGTATTTATTTTGCCAGCTGAAACAGAACATCTTGTTAACTTAATTGATTCCCCTGGGCACGTCGACTTTTCTTCAGAGGTATCTACTGCTATTCGTCTGTGTGATGGTGCTATTGTTATTGTTGATGTTGTTGAAGGAGTTTGTGCTCAGACCAAGGTAAGACGTCTAATACTTGCTTTGTGTCTATAGATCTGTTTCACGCTGTCTCATAACATTATTTTTTATTTCCAGTTGGCTTTAAAACAAGCATGGATAGAAAACATTCAGCCGGTTTTAGTTCTCAACAAAATGGATCGTTTAATCACTGAGGTCCAACTGTCTCCCTTGGATGCATACATTCATTTAACTCAAATTTTAGAACAGGTATGTGTGGTGCAGTTGGTTTTGCAACCGTATATTTTTTTTTTTTTTTTAACAAAATTGCAATAATCTATGTTTGTTTACAGGTAAATGCTGTCCTAGGAGAATTATTTACCATGGATGTACTTAGTAAGACAAGTGCAGAGTCTGATGAACAAGATAAAAAAGATGACAAGATTTCATCTGAAGCAAGTATGAAGGAAGTTTCAGAATGGGCATCAGGCTTGGACGATGCAGATGATGAAAATCTCTACTTCTCCCCAGAAAAGGGAAATGTTGTTTTTGCGAGTGCTGTTGATGGCTGGGGATTCAGGTAAACCCATATTATTAGTTTATATACATTAACTATGCTATAAAGGTTTCGGTTTGTATAAAATAACAGCTACTATACCTAATGTATTTTCTGTTTACAATGCACACAGAGTCAAGGATTTTGCTAAAGTGCTGTCAGAAAAATTGGGAATCAGTGAGGCAGTTCTCAACAAGACTTTGTGGGGAGACTTTTATCTCAACACAAAGACTAAACGTATCATGAAAGGAGCTCAAGAAAAGGCAAAGAAACCTCTCTTTGTACAGATGGTTTTGGAGAATTTATGGTCCGTTTATGACAACATTGCTATCAGAAAGGTGACTACATTAAATCTGAACATCTGCTGTGTTAGGTACTTCAAATATATGTTCCACTAACTGTCTAAATAACACTATTTTTCTTTCAGGATAAAGAAAAACTGCAAAAAATAGTGGAGAGCCTAAAAATTAAACTTACCACTCGTGATATGAGACATACAGATGCTAAAGTACAGTTGCAGGCAGTGTGTAGTCAGTGGTTACCTCTAGCTATTGCAGTTCTTGGTTGGTTTCTGCTCTATCATTTAAGTTTTATGTTTGATTATGTTGTGGATCCATCTAACTCTTTACTCTCTTGTCAGATATGTGCTGTGAGAAATTGCCTCCCCCCAGTAAAATAAATGAAGAGAAGGTTGAAAAGCTTATGTGTTCATCTGCTAAGCGATTTGACTCCCTTCCTCCAGAAACTCAAAAATTGAAGAATTCCTTTATGGCCTGTTCAAGCAGAGATGAAGATCCAGTCATTGTGTTCATTTCAAAAATGTTCCCTGTAAGTGACGCCAGATAAAGTGATAGGATCAGCAGTATTATGTTACAAATTTTGAACAAAATCGTCTTTTTGAAAATTAGGTGGAGAGGAGTCAACTACCAGAAAACAGATCCCAGCCATTGACTCAAGAAGAACTGGCTTTGCGTCGAGAACAAGCCAGGCAGAGGCATGCAGAAAGGATTAATCAGGAATCAGGTAAGGAACAGAGTGGTTTAATACATAGTAACGGAATTTTTTCAAAATTTTTTCATCTTTTTATAATTTGTGGCGCTTAATTTTTTTTTTTTTAGCCGGTGGGAATACACCTGTAGCTAGCATTCCTTTGCCTGAACCTTCCGGTGTTGATAAAAGTTCTAGTACCGAAAATAATGTGGCAGATAGTTCGAAGTCTCCCCTCGAGGATGACGCTTTCGTCGCCTTTGCTCGAGTTTTCAGTGGAAAACTTCGTGTGGGCCAGGATTTATATGTTTTAGGCCCGAAACATAATCCCTTGACTGCTCTCAACAAAGTAAGTCTTAATTGCACTTTTTCTTCACTGGAAATGTGAAATTATTTTTTGTCTGAACTATTGTCTACTTGTATTTGTAGGAACGCAAGGGAGAAGAAATTGTTGATCCTTCTTTGACACTTAAAGATCTCAAGAATGGCCAACACATAACACGAATTAAAGTATCAAGTTTGTATCTTCTGATGGGAAGAGAACTGCAAGCACTTGAGGAAGTGCCTGCGGGAAATGTTCTTGGTTCGTACCTTTGCCCTTACATATTCCTTGTCACTTTTTTCTTTATTCCCCCTCAAATTTTGAGTTTGATCTATGCCTTTTTCATTTGTTACCAGGTATTGGGGGCCTAGAGGAACATGTGCTTAAATCATGTACCCTATCATCAACTGTGGCTTGCCCCTCATTTACTGAATTGCAACTGATGGCAACACCAATTCTTAGAGTTGCTCTCATGCCAAAACATGCTGCTGATATGCCATCTCTTGTTCGTGGTCTTCGTTTATTGAACCAAGCAGACTCTTGTGTTCAAGTTCTTGTACAGGAAACTGGAGAACACGTAATAGTAACAGCTGGTGAAGTTCACCTTCAACGTTGTTTAGATGATTTGATTGAAAGGTAAAACACAAAATTAACATTAATAGTTCATGTTTAAAATTATATTTGCATCGTATTATTCATAATTTCTTGTTTCAGGTATGCTAAAATACCGATAAAAGCATCAGCGCCAATTGTACCGTTCCGGGAAACAATTGTACCACCTCCAACAGTTGACATGGTTAATGAAGCTATTCAAGATGTAGCATCTATGAAAAAGGTATGAACTGTTATGTGATTGGTCGCATACTCATGCGCAAAGCTTGGCTTTGCCATAATCTTGGCTTATCTATTTAAATTTCTGCTCTAATTTCATTTTTTTCTCTTTCAGAAGGATAAGGAAGGTCTTATAACGGTGTGGACTCCGAATCAGAACTGCAGTCTCACCATCAGGGCTGTTCCATTGCCTCCAGATGTCATTAGCATCCTTGAGAATAATTCTGATCTGATAAAAACACATAGCCAATATATTGCCTCTCAGCAAAAGGGAGCTGATATTACATCTTCAATGAAAGCCATGACTCTATCCAGTTCTGAGACACAAGACAACACGGCAAATGTCCCAGAATCATCTGGCTCTGCTTCCATTTCAGAACTGGATGAAGATGATGTCACAGCTCTCACAGACCGCACTGTCAAAGCTATTGAAAAACTGAAAGAAGATTTGAAAAAAGCATTTGATGAGAGTGGCGATCCTATTTGGCAAAATGCTGTCGACAAAATTTGGAGTTGTGGGCCCCGCCGATTTGGTCCCAACATTTTATTGAACAATGTGGTAGATCTACCTTGCTCATTTTGGAGGTCTGATGATTCCGTTGAACGAAGTGATGACATTAAAACATTACTGCTGGTGGAGAACAGCTTTGTGAATGGCTTTCAACTTGCCACCCTATCTGGACCTCTTTGTGATGAGCCAATGATGGGGGTTGCATTTGTAGTATCTAATTGGTCTTTAAACTCAGAATCTGTGGAAAATGAACTCTCTGGGTAAGTATGTGCCTTTTAGAGTTGAAGTACCCCTTTGGAGAGATATATATTATATACAGTATTTGTTTTTAACTTTATTGACCAATTTATTGTTTGGTATTAATTTTAGATCAACTGCATGGGGTCCTCTATCAGGACAGATAATGTCATGTGTCAAGGAGGGCTGCAGAAAGGCATTCCAGGCTCAACCACAACGTCTGATGGCTGCAATGTATAGCTGCAACATCCAGGTCACTGCAGAGGCTTTAGGTGAGTCAAGTGTGCATGGGTGTGGGAAAATGATTTGCTAAGAAGTTATAAAAGGTTCTTTAATTTAAATAAGTTAAGGTTTTATAAATAACAATAAATTATGTAGGTCACTTTCTCTTTCTATGCTCAGTAAGAATCTTTATCACACTACTAAAAGTCCACATTTGGCATTAGCAGCTAATCCTATTCACCCACTCTTCTTTTGAGTGAACATAGGCAAAGTTTAGATAGGATTGTTTTGCTTCATCTTCTACACACAAATGTTGGTCTTGCATTTCTCATGATTACATTCACACAAGTATTGATCACATCCATTCATATTCTTTTAGAGCATTTTAAGTGCTGAACATTTTCTATCTCTTACCAACAAAATGGACTGAACAGTAGGACTATATCTAATGTCCATTATCACGAAATAGTTATGTAATATCGCACTGTGAAGTCTTTTTACATAAGACCCTCTAAGGAAGTTGAATCGTGTAATGTTGATGTATTGTATGCTGAACATTCAGTTTCTTCTCTACAGAAATCATAGTAGTTGGTTGATGCTTTTAAGCTTCCACCCTCAAGTTTGATTTACAAACCTGTGGGATATGAAAGTTTGGAGGATAGTAATTGTTTTTCTTAATTATGGCTATTAATTTTGTATCATTATTTTTTCCCCTTCCTAAACCATAAGATTTGTGACTGCGTGAACAGTCACTATCACACTCAAGCATAGGCAATTTCAAATTGCACATAGAACAATGCATAGAGCATTGCTTTTGTAGTTTTACGCACCAAAGTTCCTGTAATCATTTCCTTTGGAAATCATAATCATTTATCTGGCTCAAGTGGAACTAATAATTATTGTCTTTCACTTCATAGTCCTCTTGCTTAGTATGTGTTTCACTATATCAACTAAAAGAAATGAGCGTAGTTCTCAATAAGACAATATTTTTAACGTTTCAAGTGTTACAAATATAGAGAACAACAACCAAACAGTTACCGGCTGTGTTAGAACATGCTTATCACTACTTTTATCACCGTGCTTCATGAGACATTATGTAACTGAGCACATCCTATAAATTGATTAATCTCAAGTTGGAGTGAGAGACATTACACAGGAAAAGCAACTTTTTGTTTCCAAAACTTGGAAATTGAACAAAATACACTCAAACTTTATCTCAAACTGCAGGAAAGAATCTCAGCCGAAAGAAAGAATTATGTATGTAGGCCCTCTTCTTCTGAAGTCTCCTTTGAGATGCATTTTTCAGAACTACAAAACCTTACACAAAGTCCACTATGGCTATGGCTCAAAATACATGTCACCTCAGTGCTAAATTATCGTAATCTTTTTAATCATGTGTACGGATCTTGTGCAATGTGGGACTAGCCTCAAACAGCAACTGTGTGGTTGGGCATTGGTGCGATCACATTTAACACTGAGGGAGGTATGCTTCAACCCATTGCCATACGCATCATTACTCTAAAATAAATAAACAGTTTGTACAGTCTTGTCGGGATTGAATTGCAGACCGCCCTTGGCTCTTCATCCTTTGATCAAATTCATTGCTCGTGCCAACTCCCAGACTCGGTCCCAGGGGAAAGGCGGTAGGTCATCGTATGCTGAAATCACACAGGGTGAAAGAGGATTAGAAAATGACGACCGGGCCACCAAAATTACATGGGCCCAGTAAACCACACTAGCGTTGAAAATTTTGAAAAGCTGAGACAGCTTTTTTGCAGATGGAAAAAAAAAAAAATTAAAGTAGGAGAACCTTTTATAGCATCTTGGGCGGTTGAAGAAGCTCCCGGAAACGGGCTCTGCGCTGCGCTGCACTTTTGGCTTACCTTTGGCCGAGCGGGGGTGCCGCGAGCTCCTTGCCCACCTCAGCGGGCGGCCCTTCCTGTTGGCGGTGGACGAGGGCCTCTTGACGCACACCATGCCGTACACCCGGATGCCCGGCACGCTGGCGTACGTCGGCTGGTCGTGGATGATGGGGCCGTCTGGCAGCGTGAGGACGAACAAAGCGTTAGACCAGCGCGTCAGACTGACTCCCAGCAGTGCTGCGGTTGTGCTTCATCTCTCTCGCGCCTCTACGGAGCACCCCGTGAGTGCGAGAGAGGAAGAGGTAGAAGCAGAGGGACTCACCCAGCATGTTGGACCTGGCAGGCGCACAGCGGCAGATGACTAAGTAGTGCGACTTGCCCGTTCGCACGTTCTGCAGCGCCAGCAGCGACCAGTCCTTGGGCGCCTTGCAGAGCCGCACCTCGGCCACCGGCTCGCACGTCTTGGCCAGCGTCAGCACCTGGGGCAGGGCGAGCAGTGTGAGTACGAGTCCGCGCCACTTGGGTGGCCTATCTTGCCCCTGCCGGCCTCCATTGCCATTACCATTACGGGCTAGACCACCAATGCGGAGAGCGTCCACAAGTATGTGGCAGCACTGACCTGCGCTGCGGCGCTGTGGCCTGTGGCTGGCGAGGGCGACCCAGGCTTTGCCTCCACTTATCCCGACTTATCCGATAACCCCTTCTTTCCCCGACCTGGTTCCGTTCCGGTAATGGCAGCATTGGTGCCGCGGAGCCTTCCAGTCACTTCCAGTGCCTTACCGGAAGCCGCCTCGGGTCTCCGAGGGTCCCCGAGGGTCCCCGAGGGTCCCCGCAGACTGTCGCCCTGTCTCCCTCGCACCCCAGGGGCGTCCCTTACAGGTGCGAGAGAGACAGGCTGGCAACGAGCGGCAAGTGGCCAAGTTCTCACGCCCCATTAGGGGTCTCGCCTTGATTTGTCCCCATAATGGTGAGAATGACTCGCCCAGACTGCGAGGGTTAGTTAGCCGCCCGATGGTCCACTGGCTTGGTTTCAAACGCCCTGGCGCACAGTGGGCCAGAAGACCGGTGACCGCTCACCTTGCCCCTGGTGGTGCTGGCCAGCTCGGTGGTGTGCAGGTCGTCCGAGTTGAGCGAGGCGGAGCAGGGGTCCTGGTGCCGCGACGGGCACGCGCACAGTGGCTGCGTGTAGTTGAGGCGCACGTACACTGCATTGCACACCTGCAGACAAGCGGGGACGTGAGCGGCGATACTCCACTCTGGACCCGCACAGCGTCGCACAGCGCACAGAGCGGCGCCGGCGGACAAAACTCTAGACGCGTTTTGAGCTCCAGAGTCGCTAAGCAGGACTCGGAGCGAGCGTGTGACCCCACCAATGGATTCCTCGTTCGGAGAGCAATCCATTGGTGGGGTCACACGGTCGGTTCGAGTCCCATTTAGCGATGCTAGAGCTCGAAACGCGTCCGGGATTTTGGCCGCCGCCACCGGTCTTCTGGCCCACTGTGGGGTCTCACCTGCTGGACGGCGCACTCGGGCAGCAGGTAGATGTGCTGGTTGTGGGGGTAGTAGTGGTACTTGGTGGGCTTGGTCAGCACGCCGGTGGCGGACTCCCCGCCGGGCAGGCTCAGCGTGCCTGGAGTCTGGAAGCAGACGAGGAACGAGAATGAGTCGAATGTTGTGTCACAATGATCCTTTCACTGTAAGAATCTCTGCTTGCGAGCTGCGGGTGCGCGTCCGCGTGCACCCGGGCAAAAAGGCGCAGCCAAAGCTTGACATTTTCCAGTGGCTGGAGCCTCTTTTGTCCATTTCAAGGACTCCGCGCGCCGCGGCAAGGAAAAGGGGGAGGGGGAAGGGGGCGGAAACGCTTTGATTAGAGGATTTCTTAGGTCTTGTTTCGGTCGGTCTCGGTCGCCGTGGCCAGGCGGGCGGAGACTGGCGCGGCGTACAAAAAAAAGGCCTTAAATTAAAAAAATAAATAGCAAAAAGAACAATAAACACGAAACAAGGGGAAAGCCGTTTGAACATGAGCGCAACTTTCAGGTAAATTTCGAAAGTTTGTTTCTATGGAAAGATCTTTTTCCTTGTGGGAGTTTGCTTGTGGTAAATCCCAATGCTTCTCCGTTTGAATCGTCCTTAAAAATTAAAAAGGTTTGATCTGCGTGGGTCTGGACTTGCCTCTTGTTTATTTGTCTCGTCAAACACACTAAATGTTTAGGTAGAATTTTCTACGTGCAACTTCGGAACGTGTGACCTCACCAATGGATTCCTCGTTCGGAGAGCAATCCATTGGTGGGGCCACACGTTCGGTTCGAGTCCCATTCAGCGACTCTGGAGCTCGAAACGCGTCCGGGATTTTGGCCGCCTCCACCGGTCTTCTGGCCCACTGTGCGCACGCAGGGCACGCGGGGTCAGGCCGTCGGCGCACCTCTCGGGAGCAGCGCTCGTTGGGTCGGAACGCACAAAACGAGGAGCTAGCCGAAGTCGTCCCCCCGTTTTCCTGTTTCGGAGCCGAAGAGGGAATTAAGTGGCGCGAATTTAAGCGCGACCATGACGACCACAGTGTATGTTAACAAGAAAAACTCCGGATGCAAGGGTGATTGTCATTTGGACCCCCCCCCCCCTCCGTTTCCCCTTCGCAGCATCTCCTTGGTTTGGCCCTTTTTTCGCGCCATTTGGAGGCGACGCGACGGATCCAAGTACTAACAACATTGCTCGGCGCATCCTGAAATTTTACTCCCTTTTTTCCCGCCCGGGGTGTCTCGCCAACAGCGCGGCAAATCACGGGCAAACTGAGTTTGTAACGCTGGTCTAGCATCGGCCCCGTACACTGTGGAAATTTGGGTTGTCCCTGAACGGCAACGTCAAGCCTCGTGTGTTCCTTACAAGAATGTCATCAAATCAGCTGGTGGCATTGTTGTCGCGCCTAGCGGAGCTTTGATGACGCTATCATCAGTTTGCAATAAAATTGTCGAAAATTGTTCACATTTTTAAGCTATGAAAATGTCATCCACTTAAAGTGACATGGCGATAACTTGTGCAGAATTTGACAGTGTAACTGCACCGGGCGGTCCCCGCTGCATTCTGCAGCACTGCAAACCCCTATAATCTACGCGATACCGGCCGATGATGGAGGGTGGCCTGGCTGCCGTGGCTGCCGTGGCTGCCTTGGCCCACGCCCAAGCAAATGACCC